GTACCATTTTTTTTTAAAATACTTTTGAATGTTTTTGTTTTGTTTTTAAAGATTTATTACATTTACTTGAAAGAGAGAGAGAGAGACATTCATCTTCCATGTGCTGGTTCCCTCCCCAAATGGCCTCAACAGCCAGAGCTGAGCCAGTCCGAAGCTGGGAGCCAGGAGCTCTTCTGGGTCTCCCACATGGATTCAGAGCCCAGGGACTTGGACCATCCTGCCACTACTTTCCCCAACTATAAGCAGGGAGCTGGACTGGAAACTGGAGCAGCCAGTGCCAGAGCTGTTGCCCAAATGTGACACTGGTACCACAGGGAGAGGATTAACTAGCTATGGCACCAAACTGCCCCCCACAACCTCCATGTAGGACCAAGGATTGAACTCGGGTAGTCCCGTGAGGTCACAGGCCTCTCAACTGTACCAGCTAGGCCGAAGGTCCACCACATAGGCTGACTTCAAGGTCGCTTCTTAAGGGAAAGTGAACTTTCTCCTTAATGTTTATCCACCAAACATTATCTTATAATTCTGTCTTCAAAATGACAGAATGTTTTCAGAGAGATACTTGGGAAGTCAGCTGTTTCCCAAGGGCTGTGGCGGTTGGCAGCTCCATCTGCTTAGTTCCTCCTGCGCAAAGGTGCCTTATGTGGCTTGTAATCTGAGATCTCTCGGTTTTTGGGGCATTGAAGATTATAGGCTCTGAAGACAGCCTGTCGAGTTAATTAGTAACCCTATCAAAGGGTGTGCATGTCTATTGTACTGTCTCCTCTGAGCGTAGTGGGGAGTGTGTGGTGGGAGAGAGGGTGCTGTTCTACTTGAGTTCCTTTGAAGTGTTTTATTGATAAACGCTCTTGGAGAAAGCTGCCCACTTCCCCACCTTTAGGGAGTAGCGAAGGGAGAGGGGTGTATAGGGTGGTTTGGAACGTATTTCAATAGACACCTCCATCGTCACAAATGATTTTATTTTTCCCTAGGGAAGGTATCTCTTAAATTATTAAAAGCAGTTGAAAGTCAATAATATCCCACTGAGAGGATGATTGCTAGTTGCAAGGAAAGAACCCTCTGATGAGTTAGAAATTAATGAGCAAGTTCAGGTTTTCTCATTTATAAACATTGTTCTTTTTGTTCTTGAACCTGTGCTTGGAATTTGGGTGGAACTTTAATGAGGAAGATGTACAGGTTCTGCAGTCCTCTTACCGGTAACACGCCCAGGTCAGTGGAGCGGTTCTGTTTTACAGCACAGGTTCAGTGACCAAGAGCCGAATGTGTCTGACAGTGTGCTGGAAGGCACAGTCTGACCCGAGCACCTACAAACAGTGTGTGTGGGATTTTGTCTCCGAGCATCATGATTGGACGACCTGACTTCCGTCAGAAGGGTCTCTCTACCCTGCAAGTTAACTGAAGTCCAGGGACTAACTATGCCAAAAAACTTGATGGAGTACCTTTCTGAAAGTGAATTAAGGTATAGAAGAAAATGTTAGCATTCATGTACAGTATCTTGTAAGACTCTCATTACCATTAAGATGATTCTGCCGGTTGGTAAGTTGATCTACTGGATCCCAGAGCATTTTAAATTAGCTGCTTGCTTATGCTCAAATGAATTTGCCACCACAGATGGCAGTTTAATTTCTTGGGTGTCACAAAGAAAGGTACAGTACCAGCTTCATTATCAGGTAGCTTTCTCTGCCTTTGGGGAGGTGGAAGGCGGGGAAAAATGTCCTGTTCACGGCTTCCTGTCAAGGATCCCCTGAAGTATAAGGCTATGTACTTGAACCTCACTGAAGGCTTACAAGAAAGTATCCTTTCCATTCGCGAGTCCTTACTTGATGTAAGTATAATGCTTTTGTGCTTTACCCCTATGTCATGTGGGCATCCTCTCTCCCTTCAGAGCAGTGATATGTAATTACAGGCAAAACAGGCTGGGCTGCTTTTAAGAGACCTCGTGGGGGTGATTTTTATCTTTTTTTTTTCTTTGAGCTCAATGCATTTCATGTCTTTCAAAATGGCTTTGTTGTCTTTCGCTTGAGACAGTACGCTAGCAAGGTGCTGTGTTTCCTGGTTTTTATGTCTTTGAGTCAGTTGTGTCTGATCCTCCAAATGACTTCTCCTTTGTTGGAGCTAGGGTTGTTAATAGCAGCTGTTAGTATCAGTGTCAAACAAATTTAAAGATGAAGATACGTGTTCCCTGGAAAGACTATCTTTTTCTTGTTTCATGCTGAAGAAATCAAATAGACTGAGGACCACCCCCTTCTCTCCCCTCATCCTGCTCCGCCCCCTTTCTCTTTTCTTTCCTTTTTTTTTTTTAGTATCTAGTGAATTCAGAAAAATACATGGGAGTGAGGAAATGTCCCTACCCACTTCTCATATTGCATACACATTTTCCTGTTTTACCTTACTAATAAAACTCATTTAACAATTTGGGATATTCGCTTCAGAATTTTTTGAAGATCTGTTTATTTTTATTGGAAAGGCAGAAATATAGAGATAATAAGAGAGAAATATTTTCCATCTGCTGGTTCATTCCCCAAGTGGCCACAGTCACTATAGCTGAGCCAATCTGAAGCCAGGAGCCAGGAGCTTGGATTTGGTCCCACACAGGTGCAGGGGCCCAACGCTTTAAACCATCCAGGACATGAACCAGTTCCCATATGGGATGCTGGGCTTGGAGGTGGAGGGTTAGCCAGTTGAGTCATTGAGCCAGCCCAACGGATTGCTTTTTTATAATGTATCTATTTAACATTAACAAATGCCTTTGTTTAGTGAAGTTGTTTTTTCATTCTAAAAATAATGCTCATAGATGTATTGAAATCACACTCCGTTTCTTTTGAACTAATGACAGAAAATGAGGAGGCAACCTGTTATAGATTGAGATGTGTGTGGCATTTAAGAAATTAAAAACATTTTTTAAAATTTATTTGAGAGGCAAAGAAGGAAAAAGAAATGTTTTCCATCCACGTGTTCTCTCCACAAATGGGACTTAATGACTATGGCCGGGCCAGCCAGCTTCCTCTGCTTTCCCAGGCGTATTAGCAGGGAAGTGGATCAGAAGTGGAGGACCTGGGACTTGAATCAGTGCTCATATGCAATGCTGGCATCCCAGGAAGTGGCTTAACCCATTGTGTCACAGCACTGGCAACTTGTTATTTATTTATTTATTTTTTTAGGTTTATTTTAATTGATTTTTTTCTTCAAGGTTCTTAGAATACTTAATATCTTTAAAATTTACTCACTGCCTAATTTTGTGAGATTAATTTATACACATTGGATGGATTTGGTAAAGAAGTCACTGTAGGAAGTCCCCTACGTGCTATTTGAACTATGTAATATTTGAATCTTCATAGTGTTTCTGTTCGCTGTCCAGCAGCGATGGGCTGGTATGTGGAGCAGCATCATAGACCTTTATGGACTGAGGGTCATATAGGATAAGGGAGGACGGTTTGAGGAATTTATAGATGGATTACAGGGAGTTCCCAAAGCCCGTCTGTAGGTCCCATCAGTTTTTCCCACACCCTTGCTTGGAGGTATCTCTTTTTGTTTTGTTCTACAGATTTGATTAATTGTCTTCTTAACCAATGTCCAATCAGCTGTCCTCCTGCAGTTACAGATTTTAAGATACTTTCTTGGAATTTGAAGGGGCTTGTAGGTAGATATGGAAATTCAACAATTTCATCTTTTTTATAGTTTGTCTTGAAACTTCAATGAATTTTAAGTTTTATTTTTATTGGAAAGGAAGATTTACAGAGAGGGGGAGAGAAAATGATCTTCCGTCCACCGATTTACTCCCCAAGTGGCCACGGTGCCTGAGCAGTTGATCCTAAGCCAAGAGCCTCTTTCGGGTCTCCCACATAGGTGCAGGGTCCCAAGGTTTTGGTTGTCTTTGACTGCTTTTCCAGGCCACAGGCAGGGAGTTGGATGGGAAGTGGATCAGCCAGGATACGAACTGCCACCTCATAAGGAATCCTGGTGCATGCAAAGCGAGAATTTAATGACTGAGCTGTAGTGCCAGGCCTGAAACTTCAATAGATTTGTGTTGTCTCTTCAGTTATATTGATAAAATGCTAAAAATGTGCTTTTTCTGGAAATACATTGCTATTGAGGATTTTGTTTTATTTTATTTTTATTGGAAAGTCAGATGTAAAGAGGAGAGACAGAGAGGAAGGACTTCCATCCACTGATTCACTCCCCAAGTGGTTGTAACGGTTGGTGCTGAGCCAATCCGAAGCCGGGAGCCTCTTCCATGTTGGTGCAGGATCCCAAGGCTTTGTGCTGTCTTCAACTGCTTTTCCAGGCCACAAGCAGGGAGACGGATGGGAAGTGGGGCTCCAGAATTAAAACCTGCATCCACATGGGATCCCAGTGTGTTCAAGGCGAGGACTTTAGCCACTAGGCTACCACTGCAGCCCAGCTATTGAGGATGTTATCTGCAGAAAACTGAATCTTAACTCTCCTACTACTCAAATGTTTCCTAAGGGCCGTGTATCCTATAGCTTTCCGTTATTGAAATTAGGGGGTTCTCTACTTACTAGTCTGCTCCCCAGGGTTTCTGTCGTATTCTCAGATCCCCAGGCCTCCAAGGCCACCTGCTGTCACCACCTGTCACAGTGCACGCACCTGGTTACTCAGATTTCCCTGCACGGTGTCTGCCAGGTCCTCAAGGTCTGATAGTTGGTGAAAAAATAGAATTCTGAGACTTACAAGACTGTCCAGTACAATGATTATATCACTATCAAGGCTTGTTGTATTTCCATTAAAAAAGTTTTCCAATTTTGTTTTAGCATATGTGTATTTAAATGCCTTTGTAGAGGGAAAAAAAAGCCTTCTAATATAAGCAGTGATACTCTACATTCTCTTTTTCGCAAGTGAAATGATGACCCTTACTTACATTTATTTAAAGAACTAAGGAAATGGAGGAATTAGGACTTTGGTTGGGTCAACATCAGCCTCACGGGGCTGGCGTGTTGAGTCGCGGCCGGCGTGAGGCTGACCCGGCTCTCCTGCCTCAGTTGCAGCAGCTGCTCACTGACCTTCCTCATGACATGCTGGATGATGACCTCTCCTCCCCTGACTGCAGTGAAGACGGCCTGGACGGACAGTAAGGACCTCAGATGCCCTCCCCTTTGTGTCTTCCAGTTCTGTGTCTTTTGAGTCTCTTTAGGCAATGATAATTTACACAATTCTGGAATTGTGGATCAGTTCTCGAAAACTGATTGAAGGTTGGAAGGGAAAGCGTGTTAAAATCATGGAGTTGAATGTTATCTATGTCTGAAAAAATTTGGGGGCTTTAAAATCTAAAGTGCTGATTTTTTTCTTTTTTTCTGAAGACTACCCCGTTCTGAGCAGTTGGAGGCGGGTTGGAGTGAGCATCAAGTGCTGCCCAAATCACAAAGTGTAAATGTGAGTGTCGGGGGTGCTGACGGCTTTGGCGAGCGTCCAAACAGATCTTAAATGCTTTTGTTCTCTTCTTGTAATTATGGCTAATGAACCGCAGGGCTTGTATGAAAATCGAAGTAAAAATGAAGACCGGCTGCTGGAGTATCATCTCGAAGAAGTTGGAGATGAAGGTGGCAGTGGTTACAGTCCTCCAAGTAAATACGAAGAGACTGACTTATATCGCCTTCCTGAGAACTTTAGGCCATTTACCAGTGCTCAGAAGCAGGAATTTAACAACCAGCCGACCAATGTAATTACCTTTTCAGATCCTCAAAGGAACCATTTTCAGGTATTCTAAGATTTTGACTTTGAACAGTACATGTGTGTGGGCATTTGACCGATGCATGTGTGTTTAAGATGTGTTTATGTGTGTGTTTAAGATGATTTAACTACAAAGGTTTATTCAGGATAATGCTGAATTAATCATCCTTGTTTTTCTCCCCCTTTTACAATCTAACGTAAGTATGGTCTTGAGTCAGAAGGTTCTGGTGGAGGTTTTATGGAAACGGATACATGGACATTAAAAGTTTAGTGCATCCAAGAGTGACCCTCCTCACTGACTGGTGCTTCTGCCTTGCCTACTTTCCTGAGCTTCAGTGAGGATCTATATGAAGGGGTCTGAATACAGTTTTAAAAACAGGAATTGCGTATAGCTGACAACATTTAGTTTCTTTAGTTAGCCTCATCTCACAAATTCTAGGTGAAATGCAAAGTTGACAACTTTTCTGAATGATGATACAGCGGTTGACAGGATGAATATCACAATGTGATGAAGTAAGACCTCAGGATATGCTTAGTTGCTTCTCAGAATTGCTTGATGACAATAAATGCCTCATTTGGCCGGTAGCTGTTGCGTGTTACCTTTAAGGCAGTCATTTTCCCCGTCAGATGATACTCATTCCATACAGTCAGTGAGCATGTATTACACGTGAGTCATGGTATCACCTGTTCTTGCTACTGATCATGTGCAGTCTTACCTTCCAAAGATGTTGGCATCTGCATCTTCTGTCACAAAGCACTTGCATATATCATTGAAATGCTTAATAAAATCGGGTCCACAGAGTGCTCACAAGTACAACTTCAGGTGTTTGTAAATGATACATTGCAGTCTATCAATTAACTGTTAAATAACAGTGAGTACTCTTTTTCATCAAAGATTTGTGTATTAGATTTGCATTGCTATGGAACCTCTGTAACATAAAATTAAGGGATTTAAGTAGTTTTGAGAGAAATGGCTAAATCTTAATTGCTCATTTTATTTCTCGTGTTATAGTAACAGTTTGGTCCATTACAGAGTCCCAGTTGTCCAGCTTTGGAGCCATATAAAGTGACATATAAACCTTTTCAGAATTCTTCTGCGCAGAATAATGGCTCACCAGCTGCAGATATGGCAAGAAGTGACCTATTTGAAGGGCTGCAACAACAATTTTTAGGTGTTAATGAAAGTAGGTATCAAGTTTGTTTATTGTTCAGTATAATATTGGAGAGGGTCGAACACTGAGCAGCTGTCTCGGCACCTTCCAGTATTAACATTCCAAAAGCATTAGTAGAATTGTGGTATTTCAGGTTTCTCATGTTTGTAGAGTGGGCTGATTTGAAATCCAGGAAGTAAGTTTTCCAGAGGTGACGCTGGGTGGGGTGACGCTGGGTGGGAGTATACTTAAAATGGTCTAGGAGTTGCTAAGTTGTGAATGGAAGGCACAGTTTTATGTCTTCTCTACTGTTATAAGTTTGAAACTTAGAATAATAGAATAAAATTTTGTAACTATCTTTGTACGATTGTTATCCTTTTCCTTTGTGATTTTTAAAAAAGATTTATTTTATTACAAAGTCAGATATACAGAGAGGAGGAGAGACAGAAATATCTTCCGTCCAATGATTCACTCCCCAGGTGAATGCAATGGCCCAAGCTGCACCAATCCAAAGCCAGAAGCCTGGAGCTTTTTCCAGGTCTCCCATGTGGGTGCAGGGTTCCAAGGCCTTGGGCTTGGATGGGAAGTGGAGCAGCCGGGATTAGAACCGGTGTCCATATGAGATCCCAGTGCATTCAAGGTGAGGACTTTAGCCACTAGGCCAACACGCTGGGCCCCCCTTTGTAATTTTTATTGCTGATTTTTCCAGAGAGAAGGAGTGATAGAAGGTCTTCTCTCTGTTGGTTCACTCCCCAAATGGATGCAATGGCCAGTGCTGGGTTGATCTGAACCTGGGAGCCAGGAGCTTCCTCCAGGTTTCCACATAAGTACTGGGTCCCAAGGACTTGGGCTAACCTCCACTGCTTTCCCAAACCATAAATGGAGCAGCTGGGGCACAGAGTGGCACCCATATTAGATGTCTACATCACAGGTAGAGAATTCACTTACTATGCTATGGTGATAGTCCCTGTATACTGATTTTTTTTTTAAAGATTCATTTCATTATTTATTTGAAGGGCAGAATTATACAGAAACAGGAAGGGACAGATAGATGTTTCATATGCTGGTTCACTCCTCTGACAGCTGCATCAGCTGGGCTGGACTAGACCGAATTCAGAAACCTGGGACTCCACTCAGAGGGGCCAGCGTATTTGTGCCAACCTCTACTTCTTTCTTAGGCACATTGGCAGGGAACCGGATTAAAAGTGGAGCAGTGGGGCCCAGCACGGTAGCCTAGTGGCTGAAGTCCTTGCCTTGCATGCACCAGAATCCCATGTAGGCAACAGTTTATGTCCTGGAGGCACACTTCCCATCCAGCTCTCTGCTTGTGGCCTGGGAGGGTTGTTGAGGATAGCCCAAAGCTTTGGGACCCTGCACCTGCATGGGAGACCTGGAGGATGCTCTTGGCTTCTGTCTTCAGGCCGGGTCAGCTCTGGCCGTTGTGTCCACTTGGGGATTGGATCAGCAGACGGAGGATCTTTGTCTCTCCTCCTCTCTGACTTTCCAATGAAAATAGATAAATCCTAAAAAAAAAAGAGTGGAGCAGTGAGGAATCAAACTAGCTCTCATATGTGATGCTGGTATTGTAGACAGCAGCTTAGCCCACTGTTCTACAATGCCCCCCTTGTCTTTAGACTTTAATTAGCAAACATGTTGACTAAAGTATGACTTCCAAACTTCTCTGGCAGTGATCCACAGTTGGGAGGCTTTTTTTTTTTTTTTAAATTGTGATATGGACAACAATATATATCTTCATGAATAAATATGTGTATGTGAAACAAAAGGGTTTCCAGAATAATACTTATTCCTACTAAGTAGTGCACTCTACCATACTTTTTTTTTTAATGCCACAATGCACTGAATTGGTCTCGTGATACTCAGGTAAGCTGTGTTCACAGCTTGAAAAACATTTGTCTAACTGAACATACAGTTTTGACTTTCTGTCTAATAAACCATCTTTAATTCCAAAGGAGATTCTGCAGAAAATATGCAGATTATCCAGCTTCAGGTTCTTAACAAAGCGAAGGAGAGACAACTAGACAACTTAGCTGAAAAGTTAAATGAAAGTGAACGTCAGATTCGGTATCTGAACCACCAGCTTTTGATAATCAAAGGTAAGAGAACGACTCCTGGGTTTTCTGTTTACCAGTGGCAGTAATATCTCCTTCTAAAACCTCTGTCTGAGTATGAAGCTTAGGAGAATTGAGCACTTCGAGGGCTCGCAGGAAGTCAAAGAGAAACAAACCCCAGAGCTTCTGAACACTTTGTTTAAATTACTTCTTTTTTGGTTTTCAAACATTTGTTTTATTTTTATTGGAAAGAGAAATAGATCTTACATCTGCTGCTTCATTTCCCAAATAGCCACAATGGCTAGAGCTGGGTTTTTCTGAAGCCAGGAGCCAGGAGCTTCCTCTGGGTCCCCCACATGGGTGCAGGGGCCCAAGGATGGTTTTTCTTGGTGCTATTCAGGTAGCTTAGTCATTTTTAAAATTTGGTTTTCTCCAAATTGGCTACCATTTAGTTGTTTGAATGATGTGATACCGATCTGATGTATGATAGGGAATGTGACCCTTGAGGTGCCTGCACAGTGACAGACTGTTATCAAATTTGTAAAAATTTTGTAGATGAAAAAGATGGATTGAACATCAGCCTTCGGGAGTCCCAGAAACTCTTTCAGAATGGAAAAGAAAGAGAGATGCAGCTCGAAGCACAAATCAAAACACTGGAGTCCCAGATACAAGCCTTAAAAGCCAACGAGGAAAAGGCAAGTATCTTACCTTGCTTATCTATGGTAAAAAGGTTACTTAAGAGGTTAATCAAGTAAGAGGATTACCCAGGTGGCCATAGAGAGGGTTGAAAAGGTTAACTCCAGCTGTTGAGCAGAACTTTTGGTCAGGTTGGACTGAGTGTGGAGGAACTGTGCTGCCTTGCTGCAGCTTAAGTCAGCTGGAGGAGCAAAACTGATTGTCCCCCTGTGATTTGTCCCTGACTGGGGATCTCGGCTTCTTGCTCTGCTGAAGTGTCTTCAGTGCTGCCCTTCAGGATTTTACCATCTTACACACTAGTTAATGCTTTTCCCATCCACAAATCCTCTTACGATCATCCGAATGATTTTCTAGAATGCTGTTCTGATGATGTCATGCCCTTCCTTACAGCCTTTGACCCTATTCTCTCAGTGAGATGGAAAATGGTGTTAAAATGACCAATGCCTGGGCTTTCTAACTCTCGTCAGCCAGTCTGGTATTTTTGCACACAGGGACCCATCGTGTCTGAACAGCTCTGTGCTGTCGATAAGCCCCTGCCTGCGGGTTTTCCCTCCCCAACTTTCCCCAACTCTCCCTCGCTTCCCTCACGTTGGATGATGACACCTGTTTTTGTTTTTATTTTATGTTGTTTTATTTTTATTAAGGTTAATGACGATCCCTACTTGAAAACATTCCACAGTTTGAGGGAAAAAGAATACCACTGCTGTTGGAAGGAGTACAAGTTGAATTAATGCAAATTTTAGGAATTATTTAAAAGTTTTTGTAAGACAGCCATTTAATAAAAATAAGTATGTCAATTTATTATGCTGTGTCACTGGATGCCCTGAAAATGAAGAGTGGGGAAAAAAAAAAAAAAACCAAAGCAATTCTTTTCCATGCTTTTTAGTGCTGGCCCTTCAGGCCATTTGGGGAGTGAACCAGTAGATGGAAGATCTGTCTCTTTTCTCTCTGGAATTCTGCCTTACAAATGAATAATCTTTAAAAAAAATTGTGTGTGTAAAGTAAGATTTTAGGTTTTTGAAAACTGAAAATAGCTAGAATTTTTAAAAAATCGCATTTAGGGCCCGGCGCAATGGCACAGTGGTTAAGGTCCTCGCCTTGCATGCCCGGGATCCCGTATGGGTGCCGGTTCCAGTCCCGGCAGCCCCACTTCCCATCCAGCTCTCTGCCTGTGGCCTGGGAAAGCAGGCCCAAAGCTTTAGGACCCTACACCCGCGTGGGAGACTCAGAAGAGGCTCCTGGCTTGGGATCGGCTTGGCATCGGCCATTGCACTCACTTGGGGAGTGAATCATCCGATGGAAGATCTTCCTCTATGTCTCTCCTCTCTGTATATCCGCCTTTCCAATAAAAATAAAATAAATCTTTTAAAAAAAATTGCATTTAGTAATCAAAGGTTGTAACATTGTAATTTTATATTAGTAATTACACTTAAAGAAAAATGAAGGCATTGGATTCACCAACTGTATTAGTTTCTGATTTGCTGCTATGGCAGATAGCCACAAGGGCTGAGCAAAATGAGGCATCTTCTTTGGGTCTCCCTAGGCTGCAGTCAGAGGTCAGCAGGGCTGGCACTGCTCTCTGGAGGCTCCAGCCGAGGCACTGTCTGGTTGCCTCTGCCGTGTCTAGAGGTCGCCTGCTTTGGCTTGTGGCTTATTTCCAGCTTGACACCGCTAGATTTCCTCATTTATGGAATCTGGTGCTTGTATCAGGCTCACCTGGATAATCTTATTTGCGGGCCATTTGGCTTAGCAACTTTAGTTTTCTCAGGCCATGTAACAAAGTATAGTCATAGGTTTTTATTTTTTTCTTACAGGTTGTAGTGAATTTCTTAGGAGCCATTATTTTGCCAGTGATAACCAATTGTGCAGTTATACCTAAAACTGAAACTTTGTTTTCAGTGAGTGAGCATGGCAAGTTTCATTAGGTTAGCAAAGAACAGTTGTCATTTTAAAATGACCCAACATTTGTATGTCCTACACTTTGCTCATAGAACAGCATGAATAGCATTCAGACCAATACAAGAGCAGCATCCCTTACCTGATACTAACATTGCCATCGTATTGCACAAAATCTTCTTCCACTCTTCTTCGGGAAACTACAGTCTTATTTCCTTAGTGAATATTTCCAGCAACCATGGGCCTGGTTGGTCCCAGCTAGGGATGCTGTAAAAAGCTAGGCCACACAGGTGACAGACCGCTGACCTCATTAAAGCACTGTTGGATTGGAAAGCCTACAGAGAGCATGAAGTTAAATACCATATATGTGGATGTGCTCTGTGTGTGTATTAGATAATCAAGAAATCCAGGACGACAGAAATGGCTCTGGAAAGCTTGAAGCAGCAACTGGCTGATCTGCATCATTCCGAGTCACTTCAGCGAGCCAGGGAGCAGCATGAGAGCGTTGTCTCGGGCCTCACGAAGAAGTACGAAGAGCAAGTGTTGTCCTTACAGAAGAACTTGGATGCTACAGTGACTGCACTGAAGGAACAGGTTGGGATGATTTTCAAATAGCAAATGTCATCAACAAGTAAAGCTGGTTACTTTTTGTAATTGATATTTTATCATTCCTTGTATAGGTAGATGTTAGATTGTGAATGAAATGTAATAGCCTGGTTTTTTTTTTTTTTTTTTTTTTTTTGGTAGTCTTTAAATATATCCTAAAGGTGTAATTTTGGAAACCATTCCTCCAAGATTGATTAGGACTTTTTCAATTCTCACATCACTACTCCTGTATTTCCAGATTATTCATGCACATTGTTCTTATTTTCCTAGACTAAATACAAACTGAGAGAAACGAATGTGCAGAGTTGGCTAGAACCTGAGCGGTTGTCCTGGGAAAAAATTTTAAAAAAGCATTTTTTGGGTCTCCCAGCATTTGGGAATTTACCTTCCCATGAAGATTAGAGAACTGATTCTTCAGTGTTAATTTTGAGAAAATATATATATATGTGAAAGTTTTATCTAAGCTCATTGAGATTTGAAGTTTGAGCGTGTGTCACAGTAAATGTTTGTATTTTCCCAAGAGAGAATTAAATATTTTGAGAGTGAGTCAGGTGGTGAGTTTGTTGTTTACCAAGATCCTAGGTAATAAGCTGAATGCATAAAATTTAATAATGCATGTTTCCTAACGTCATTCCTGAGTTAACATTGACGAGGAGAAGAAAATAACTATTTTGTTTTTCTTCTCCCAATTCCTAGTTGCTTACAAAAACTATCATGACCTCCCAGAACATAGACATGAGTTGTTTCCTTAGCACTTCTGTGCACACACGCACACACACGCGCACACACACACACACACACACACACACACACACACACACACACACATTCATGCTTGGGTTCGTGTTAGCATATGTACTGTGTCTGCCATGTTCCTTTGGTGCTTTGGAACAGTGCTTTTCAGGCTGGCCTGCGTTAGGAGCTGTGCGCCAAGGCTGAATAAACATAGACCTGTTTCCAAAAGTTTCAGTTTTCTCAGAAGTGTAGCTGAAAACTTTAAAATGAACACAGCCATGCCCAGCATGATAGCATAGTGGTCAAAGTCCCTGCCTTGCATGCCCAGGATCCCATATTGGCGCCGGTTCTAATCCTGGTGGCCCCTGCTTCCCATCCAGCTCCCGCTTGTGGCCTGGGAAAGTAGTTGAGGATGGTCTAGAGCCTTGGGACCCTGTACCCAAGTGGGAGACCTGGAAGAGTTCCTGGCTCCTGGCTTTGGATCGGCTTAGCTTCAGCCGTTGGGGCTGCTTGGGGAATGAACCATCGGACGCAAGATCTTTGTCTGTCCTCTCTGTATATCTGCCTTGCCAATAAAAATAAATAAATCTTAAGAATACAGCCGCATTATAAAATAAAACACAAAATTCACAGGAGATTTTGACTGTCCCATCTTTCCCTTCCGGGAACCTTGTGTGCCCTCCTGTGCCCCGATGCAATATGGTGATGTCACTGAGGCTCTATCAGGCTTTTACTTCTGCAGATGGGAGCACCAAAGGCCAAAGTCTCTTCCTGTTTTAGAGCAGGTATTTTTATATTCTTCATTCTTAGTTTCTTTGTATTTTAGGTAATTTTAGTAATTACCACAATCTCCTCTTCTGTCTCTCCCACGTTCTGCCATGTGCCTGAAATTCAGCCTTTTGTGAATTAGATGTAGTGATTTCTTCAGTGTTGGCAAAGCAGTCTACCTAAACATGTACATATACACATACTGACAACACAAAATGTAAATAGGAATGTAACACATTTCCTTTGGCACAAATAACTTTAGCATTAATAGTATCTTGTAAATGGGAATTTTAGAAGTAACTTACCCCAACATTTATTAGCCTAATTGCAAAAGAGAAAGCAGACGGAGAAGTTGAAGCATCATTGGAGACCACACACATTTGTTGTGACTCTAGTCCTGTAGGTGTCACCCTCTAGGAGAAGGGGATGCTGCCATGTGGTAACTGTGCAGTTGACTTCATATCCAACTATGTATCTTAATTTTGGGTTTAATATTGATTAAAACTGATCGTGACAATGACTTCTAGCACTGTCTGTTTAGGAAGATGTTTGCTGTCATCTGAAAGATCATGTAAAGCAATTGGAAAGGAATCAAGAAGAAATCAAATTAGAGAAGACTGAAATCATTAACAGGTTGACCAGAAGTCTAGAGGAGAGTCAAAACCAGTGTGCACACTTGCTGCAGTCGGGTGAGTTCCTGGTTAGACTGGTGCCTCTCCAGGAGGCCAGGATGACATGCAGAGGGAACACAGCAGGGTTACAGGTGTGAGATATCAACAATAACCAATAGCCCAACTACTCTGAGATCATCTTCATTCATATTTGACTATTCAAGTGAAATGAATGTGCACATGGACAATGCCCCGCCTCTATCTAGTGAATTTCTGGAGGCATACTATAAGCCAAGTACACAGAAATGTCTTAAGATGAGCTCTTTCCCTGTAAAAGCAAAATTGATTCAAGAATCCTGTTGTATTTTGTTTTTTATACCCAATATTTGACTAGACAGTTCTGTCCTCTTGCATAACTCTTTTGATTTCTCCAGACCCTGAAACACACGTCCCCATGACAGAATAGCCACCTACGTGGCCATTGAGACCAGGTCTTGACTTTTTGTCATCCTTAAGATGTCTGCTCTGCTCCCCATCGTATTCAGTTGGCGACATTGGCTTCCTATCACTGTCGTTTCCTCAGTAGTTTTATTTGATATTAATTTTTTATGAAATGGCGTTGAAGTAAAAAGACACTGCAACTCAATCATTGCTTTACTGACAAAGCTGCACCGTTTGCTGATGAGTGCCTCCCACACTGGAAATAGGTCAGCGGTTATTAACTGATAGAGCAGAGTCACACGGTGGCATATCAGAGCTACTCGGGCTGCTGGGACACTGAAGGAAAGGGTGGCTAATTCACAAGTTGAAAATTGAAGTCAAGGACCGCCTCAGTATGTGTGGGGACTTTGGTGGCAAGCGAAATTTGGGCTCTACCTTGCTCAGTTTCCCCCTCTATTTAATTTTTTTTTCCTTTGTTTGCTTTTGTATCTTTTCCTCTGCCCAGTTCTCCTTCTCTCCCACCACCCTCTCCCCTCCAACTTGGTTGTTACTGGGTGATCCTTTTCCTGGCCATTAAAGTCTTTGAAAATATGGTTTTCTTTAGCCGCATAATAAGCCCATATTAACTTAACCATTTCCAAGATGATCATTTTCTTTAGAGGAAACTCAATTAAGTAGAGGGTATGTGTGCATGTGTGTGGAAATAGAAGCATTTAGAACGAAGCCAAAGGCACCAAGGTGTCATTTTCTTATTGGAAGACAAATGGGTTTCAAAACATTATGTATTTGGCTTTCTTCGAGTCTGAATGCTGTACTCCCACTCAAGGACTTGAGCTCCCCAGGGACATACAGGGAGTTATACTCAGTCTTGGAAACATCTACATAACACCTGTGCCTTTTGGGTCTATACCTCTCTACTCCGGAATCCAACCTTCTCTGGGTCTTCGACCCCTTAATTCTAGTGTCCTCCTCCAACAGGCTCAGTCCAGGAGGTGGCACAGCTACAGATGCAGCTGCACCAGGCACAGAAGGCTTATGCTCTGAGCGACAGCATGAACAAGGCTTTGCAGGTGAGCACTGCCTCCGGGTAGAGGCGCCCTGGGTAATGGAGTTTGGCGGTGGGGAGATGACCCTTTGGAGTCTTGACTTTCTGATTTTGGAGGTCATTGGCCTGTCTTCACACTAGCTCATGGCACTTGCTGACAACCTTATCCACACACTTGGGCATTCATGTCCAGGTTTGTTAACTGCAGGGCCAGGGCCTTCCCCCTGCTGCTAGTTGGTCTGCCAACTGCTTGCTGTGGTGCATTCTTTCACCCATGGGTGTATCCAAGAGATAAATTGATTAATAAGGGTAGGAAACATTTCTTGAACTGATTGTCTCACAGCTCCTCCAGCATTGCTTATCTTTTTCACTGGGGGATGAGAAAAAAATCTTGGGGAAGGGTCCTATTTAATTACTTCCATTTAAAGTGGCATTTTCACCATGGACAACCAAAAATACTACATAATCTTGAAAAATCGATGTACTTTGTCTATTGTCTTGGAAAGCCCAAAACTGTTACCATGAGTGTTTTAACTCACGGGGCACTTTTTATGGAGGAAAAAGTGTGAGAGTGAGATGTGGCAAAACTGCTTATCATTGCTTTTTTGTTCATTTATTCATTTAGTTCATTTCAATTTGCGTGAAAATCTGATGCATGCTATCCTTTAAGAAGTTGTGTAAAATGTATGCTAATAAGGCATTTGGAGAAGTTTTTCTGCTTTCTGCTGGTAACCAAGGCAAATTTTAAAGCAGTGACTGAACTCTTCCCATAGGAAAATAACCAAAATTATTTTCATTAATTTTATGTTCTAGGAAGAATTAGCAGAACTAAAAGAAGAAATATCTCTTTATGAGTCGGCTACAAAACTAGGAGTACTTCCAGCTGATGCAGAAGGAGAATTGAATATAGAACCCAGTGAATCCTATGTGGATTTGGGCATTAAAAAAGATAACCAGAAGAAAGGCCGAGTGAACAGGTACTGAGCAAGCTGACTGTAGAATAACCTGCGTGAGTGATACTGATGCTCTGTGGTGATTACTTGCTTCTGAGTGCGAAACCTTGAACTGCCTAAAGGTTCTTGAATGAGAGACAGCGTTTCACTAATTTTTAATGAAATGTACATGTCTGAAATCAAAATCTCAAGTTTTGATATTATACTATCTTCAGTGTCCCAAAAGACATTTTCACTTTAGAAGTTTTTAAAAAAAGTTAATGTAGTTAAACTATACACAGTAAGGTTTTTTTTTTTTTTTTAAGATTGATTTATTTTTATTACAAAGTCGGATATTCAGAGAGGAGGAGAGACAGAGAGAAAGATCTTCCATCCGATGATTCACTCCCCAAGTGAGCGCAATGGCTGGTGCTGTGCCAACCCAAAGCCAGGAGTCAGGAACTCCCTCCAGGTCTCCCACACAGGTGCAGGGTCCCAAGGCTTTGGGCTGTGCTCGACTGATTTCCCAGATCACAAGCAGGGAGCTGGATTGGAAGTGGGGCTGCCAGGGTTAGAACTAATGAGCATATAGGATCCTGACACGTTCAAGGCGAGGACTTAAGCCGTTAGGCTACTGCGCTGGGCCCTATACAGTAAGTTCTAAAATAAGTCTGTTATAATGATTACGATGAAGACTTTATGTTAACTGTTGAAAGCAGGTTCATAGCATTTTTCAAGGGAATAGTAAGAAAAATAGGAACTTCAGTCTAACCTTACTTTTAAAACAGAGATTCTGCCTTTTTTGCTGTTACCTAATGTGGATATTTTAGCAGTCTCATGGAAGAGAGGGCTTTGTCATGCCTTCCAAGGACGGGAGACGAAGTGACTGCGGTAGGAAAGTGTGTTAAACCTTCACAGGGTGAATGAATGAGATCCGATTTCATTATGCTTTTAAAGCACTTGCTGCTCGGAAGATGCTGTGTGAGGCTCTGTGCATGGAGAACAGTGTACCTCCACAGGGAATTAGCCTTTGCCTGGTGGTGACTGGGAGTACTGTGAACAGCTAGGCACTGTGTGTTGACTGTTACGCTCGACGTACAATGGAGGCTTTATTCGAGTTTCCTCTCCTGGGTTAGGACAGACATAAGAGATGGCGTGTTGGGAAGAGATTGCTTTTAGGCCAAGGCAAGCTTTTCTGTTTTGAAAATATTTTTTGGGAAGTGGGGAGGCATAGGGAAAGAGAGCTCCCACCCAGCTTGCAATACCTGGTGCTAAGCTTGAGCCGAACCCGAGAGTGGGGAACACAAAACTCAACCTGGGCCTCCACCTGAGTGTCGGGAGCTCAATGATTTCTGCCATTCCCCGTCGGTCCTAGGGTATGTGTGAGCAGGAAGCTGGAACTGGGAGGCAGAGCTGGGCCTTGGAGCCAAGTACTCCAATGTAAGACATGACATCTACTTATTTAATTTTTATTTATTTATTTGAAAGAGGGAGGAACAGAGAAAGAGGTCTTTGATGCATTGGTGTACTCAAGTGACCCCAGTAACCAGAGTGGAGCCAGGCCAAAGCAGGAAACTTCTACCAGGTTTCTCATGTAGTGGTGGGGGCCCAAGCCTGGGCCGTGTTCTGCCGCTTTTCCCAGGACATCATCAGGGAGCTGTAGTGGGACATGAACTGACACCTGTGAGGGATGCTGGCATTGCAGGTAGCAGCTTTAGACTGATACGCCATAACACTGGCCTGGTGGCACTTGGCATCTTCACTGCCTGGCCAAAAACTTGGCCCAGAGATCTTGCCTTGAATGCTTTTGGTCCTCACTTAACCAGTGAATGGTTTGTAGTTTAAGACTGAGTTTACTGTCATCGCATTATTGTTTAGTGTTAAACACGTGTTGTATTTCAAACATCTTACAACTAAATACAAGTATGTGAATTTCCCAAATAGGGTTTATTAGAAGTTATATATTCTCATGCTGTGATGGAGGGACAGTAAGATCAAATTGAGTAATTGGAAATCTCAAGTGATCAGTTGAAAATGTGAAAGAAACTATAGTGAAGTTCCAATTATCTTGGGATCAGTGTTCAGGGATTCTCGCCTCTGCAGATCACAGTGCAATCCAGAAGGAAGCAAAGAACAAAATAGCAGAACTGAGTTATTTGATGTATTTTTCATTATAAATTTTATTTTTTATAATGAGTACATGGTTGATCAGGGTGGGAAGGATCGAAGTTTAGGGAGAATTGAGAGAACTGATTGCTTCCAAATTTGCCATTCTTGTTTCTGGGGGAAGGAGAGAGACGAAGGGGGAAACCACTCATGACTTTCCGCACGTCCCAGTACCCAGGGAGGGACCGCCAGCTCTTATCAACCCAGAGAGAGTCTCAATGTGTACATATTCTGAGTTCAAGTGGTTTTGGATGGTCCTGAAATGTTGCCAATTTCACTAATCCGAGGATTTTGAAGGAGCCATCGTTAAATTCTTTCTATGTGTGTATATATGTGTATGTATAAATTTATTTAAAGGCAGAATTTTTACTGAGAGAGGACTTTGATCTGTTGGTTCACTTCCTTCGATCTGTTGGCTCACTTCCCACATGGCTGCAGTGGCCAAGCTAGGCTGGTTCAAGACCAGAGTCCAGGAGCCTCTTCCTGGTCTCGCATGTGGGTGCAGGGGCCCGAGGACTTCGGCCGTCTTCTGTTGCTTTCCCAGGGGTGTTAGCAGGGAGCTGGATCAGAAGTGAAACAACCAGAACTTGAAGTGACACCCTATCCGGGATGCTGGTGTGCCAAGTGAAGGGAAAGTGTGTTTATATACATTTAAAAATTTGCTCATATTTTAATTGGAAAGTCAGATAAACAGAGGAGAGACTGAGAGGAATATCTTCTATCCGTTGATTCACTCCCCAAGTGACCACAAAGGCTGGAGCTGAGCCGATCCGAAGCCAGGAGCCTAGAGCCTCTTCCAGGTCTCCCATGTGGGTGCAGGGTCCCAAGGCTGGGGTGTCCTTGACTGCTTTCCAAGGCAGGGAGCTGGGTGGGAATCGGGGCTGCCAGAGTTGGAATTGTTGCCCATATGGCATCCGGACACATGCACAGCGAGGACTTCAGCCACTAGGCTATCACGCCGGGCCTGTGTGTTTTATATTTTTGAGACAGATTTATATGACATTTTAATGTTAAGGTGTGGTCATCTGGAAAATTCATCACTGTGGATGCTTCATTTCCTATTAATGCCAGATTAATTCTAAGGCCGTGGTGGAACAGCCTGGACTTTAGAGCCAATCTCCTTTAACTCTTAATTTTGCAATTTATTACTGTGGGCAAATTTCTTTACTTTTCTGAGCCCGTTTTCTGATATCCAAGAGAGAGCAGATCAGTGTCTCTTGGAGGCTAAAGGAAGGCTTAAAGGACAGTGTGTAAAGGGCCTCATTAATATGCTCTAGCCTACATTGGACAATAAATGATAGCTGTTATCTAATAGGTTGGTTCAGATATACTAGTGATCACATTTTATATTAATTCACTTTTAATTCAACACACATTTTGTCAGACGTTCTTGCTCTTTATGGAAAAATATTGTGGTGTTGGTGTTGGGAAACTGCTTGTGAAGAGAGACAATTAGCTGTGGAAGTGGTGCTTCCATCGCAAAACTGCTCGGGCCAGGCCCAGGGTTCAGTTTGTTCATATCACAGCCAGACCTTTTTGCCTTAAATTTCATTCTTGTTCTATGTCTTTCACTCTCGAGGGTTAAAGACGGAGTTTATATATTTTAAAAAAAAAAGTTTTAATTTATTACAACTACTGTTTGTACCGCAATTACCTTGGGAATTGGATAAATAACATATCAGTTTGCTTATCTTCTCAAAGTAGACTTTGTCTTTATGTATGCTAAAATATTTTCTACTTTTGTACCTGTGTTTGCTTGGCACTCATAGCCCAAATGCTATCGTAACGCTGAGGTGGGGATCCTGAGACATCACGTCGTGTTCATAGTGGCAGGAGTGGCGATGTGCTCATGATGGGAAGGGAGACTAACGCAGGCGCGGTGTGTGTCCGGTCACTGAGGTGTTGAGTGTGGATACAGCCAGTGCAGGAGAAGGGGAGAAATGTCCTCTCTCCCCTCAGCGGTTTAGTAAGTGACAATTTGGCTTTGAAGACAACTGGAAAGAATCATTTTTCAGATCAGACTTAAAGAAGACAGGAGAAAAGTGACCTGTAGCCTTCCCCTTGGGGGATTGCGATTCTTAGAATAAGAAGCAGCCAACAGTTTTCCCAGGGTTGAAAATTTTTCGTTCTTCCTTGACCTGCCTTCAAGTCACTGACCCAAATAGTAGCAGCTCCAAGCTTTTATTGCCAGCCACCAACCATCCTCAGACTCCTGCCTAGTGGATTGTAAGGGCTTAGCCTCAGGGTTCTGTTTTACACTTGTGGAATTTGAGTAGCTGAAGCTGCCTGCCGTTTGCACACAGCTTCCTCTCTGCCTGTTACAGTTGGCTGCTAAGCTCCAATAATAAACATTGAACAAGTGCAATGCCTGTACCCTTTGGTCTTCGCAGGCTTCCTAAGGGACCAGGGTTTGTTTGGGTTTAGGGGACTTCACATCCATAGGGCTCAGTGGTGAGCCTTATGCACCGGTGTTCACCACCACTGGCTTTCCCCCATTGAGGAAAGAAGAGAAAAATGATTTAGCAAGCACTTTCTCTGCTCTTTGACCTGGCTCCCATCAGGAGTACGGGATGTGCTATTTCAGTAGTCAACAGTCGCTGAGAGAAGAGATAAGAGATGCATGATTTGTGAACAGAAGAAGCACTCTGAGATGATCGCTATCAATAACCCAGGAAGAAATATTTTTTATTTCTTCATATGATTTTATTTTTATTTCTTATACTTATGGATTCTGTTTAGATTTAAGTAGAAGTGATTTAAATATGTGAGATCTATACGTATAGATATACTGACATAGTATTTTTTTCTAAGGATTTATCTATTTGAAAGGCAGAGTTATAGAGAGAGCTCTTCCATCCCTTGGTTCACTCCGCACATGGCCACAGCTGGGCTGGTCTAAAGCCAAGAGCTTCTTCTGGTCTTCCATGTGGGTGCAGAGGCCCAAGTCCTCGGGCTGTCCTCTGTTGCTCTCTAAGCACATCATGCAGGGAACTGGATCAGAAATGGAGCAGCCAGGACTTGAACTTGTGTCCATATTTGCTGCTGGAGTTGCAGAAGGTGGCTTTACTTACTATACCACAGTGCTGGCTTGTGATTATCGGTTTCCTTCTGGTGCATCAGCTGTTGCAGTTAGAGCAGCTGTACAGTGAGCACAGATATATATGTACATGTATATTTATATGTACCTTTAATTACCTTAATAATAGGTAATGCATAACCACTCAACAGCAAGCATCACTCTGTTTGAGCATATCACTCTGTGCACTGGAACCATGCGAACCTCTTAACCTCTGCGAAGCAAAACCCAAGCTGATCTCTTTTACCAGAATATCCTGGGGCTGTGCCAGGGGCTGGGGCAGCGGGCATGGGGGCAGCTCTGGACTCTGGTCAATTCCATATCAGGATACAGTGGACAGTCTCCTGCCACCTGTAACATCTGAACAACCACTCTTGGTTTTACTAGGCTTTTTATACCCTAAATTTGGTGTCTTTTGTCTTGAGCCATCTGAATGGTTTATCTGGTCCAAGCTTCCTAGACTTTGGCATCGCCTGGTTACCTGTGTGTTACAGTTTGTCTAGTCCAGGCATGTCTTCAGTGTGGGACCTTTTGGGGAATAGTATTATGTTTCTCACATGACCCTACCTGCTATTTTTATATATGAAATTGTATATATGAATTATAAGGGCCGTATTTTATAGCATTAACAGTTAAATCTACCCAGTATTTTGTTCATTTTCTCTACATTCACAGTCACAATGTTCTAGTATTTGGTTCAAATCATCCAGAACTAAATAAAAGTAAAAACTGTAACCTAAATACTGTTATTAATTTTTTGGAACAGTTTAGATTCACAGAAAAAAATATATATCCGAGTTGCTGTGTCTATGCTTCCATTTTCTCCCACTGTCATGCCACAGTAGTGTGAACAGGCATCCGTACTGATAAATTATTATTGACCCATCACAATTTTCTGGTTTGTTTTACCCAGAGTTTGTTGAAGCACCTTTAGTTTTTACCCAGTGTCTTTTATCTCTCTCTCCTCCTAGACACCATGCTACATTTAGGCGCTGAGCTTCACTGGGTTATACCTGTCCTTACGTGTCCTTGTTTTGAATGACCTTGACAGTGTTGAGGACTGCGGGTCAAGTATTCCGTAGGAAGCTTCTGTATTAGACTTGGCTGTTTTCCTCCTGAGTATGGTTTGCTCAGGGGTTTTGTGCAGAAAGATCACGGTGAGATGGCATTTCCGTCACACAGCATACCAGTGGTGCCTGCTATCCACTTTCTTTTTCTCTCCTAAAGTAACTTTCTCCTCTGTTGTGGAAAAAAAAAAATAGAAATAAACGTGAAGAAAAGGAAATAAAATCTTCCCTTAATCTTTCGTCCCATAAAGAAAACCACCATTAGAATTTCGGAATGTCATATCCATATTATCTGTCTTATATGTTATTAAAAGACAAAATGATCCCGGATATCATATTTTATAATGGCTTTTAACAGTGCATCCTAAAATCTTTAATGTCATTAAATATTGATGTAGTGTGTGTGATTTTTAATAGATATCTATACATATTTAAAATCTTGTTAAAGCATTAAGATTAAATATTTAGATATTTAGTTTTAGCAATATTATTATAAGCATCCTTTTGGTCAAGTCCCCCCCCCTTTTTTTTTCACATCTTTAAATCCTTAAGAGGTAGAACAGTATTTTTGCTAAGCTGTATGCACATGTTTAAGGATTTTGCTGCAAAGCTCTCGACCTGAAGTTTGCATTGTGACCGACAGCGAGTGCCAGCACCCATTCCTCCTTGTACTTCAGCCAGTGTTGTTCCCATTTCTCCTGCTTGTAAGGGTTAGGCAGGGTGAAGTGTCACTTTTGAGGCAGTATCTGATGCTCTGTCGGTAATCTTTCTTCCGTGACTCCCTGGAGCACAACACAACCCCAGCCTTGTTTTTTGCCAATGGTTCTTTCCCCGGCCTGACATGCACAGTTCTCTGGAGTTTGCTTGCACGCAGCTCCTTTCTTTCCTGATATTCAGCTCCTCTTATAATTCTAGGTCTCCACTAACTTTTCGCTTTTTGCTTGCAACTCCTTGTGATCACTGTTGAGGTTTTCCTCCCCGGGGCTGAGGCCTGGCGGGCCTGCAGGCAGGTGGCCGGCCTGCCATGGGGCAAGCCTGGTTGGCTTTCCTTTTCTCGTGACTCACTGTCCTGAGCTGCCCATTTTCTCATGGTTGAAAACCAACCATTGCTTCCTCATTTTGATTGGTTTTTCAGTTTTTTAAGGAGACAGGCAAGTTTGGTCCCTGTTAATCTTTACATTATTGGAAGTACAATTTGGCTTACGTTAACACGGCTTTCGTTTTTTATTGATATTGTTTCAGCTATTCAGATGCTAAGATCCACATTTTGAAAGTTTAAAAAGAAAACAGCAATTGTTAGATTGGCTAAAGTTTGGTATTGTTTTCCTCCTGTTGGAATTGTAAAGGCACATGGACACACACACAGACACACCATTCAGTTTGCCCTAAGCACAGATTAAGCCCGGTAGGGCAGCAAGAATAAGCTGAAGAATGCTTTCAGCATAAAGAAACTTAGAAGAGGACACACACAACAAAGACAACATCCCTTGTGTGGTGAAGTTTACAGTTGTCTTGCAGTTTTTATATAATTACTGTTGCTTTGAAAGAATTACCGTGCTTGATTCATTCTACAATTTCTCCCCTAGCATGGTGCCGCAGGGAGACCCAGGTGAAGCTCTTTCGAAAGATGAGGTTATCGTGAAGTTGAAAGCAGAAGTGCAGCGTCTACTGGGGAGCAACTCAGTGAAGCGCCAGCTCGTGTCCCGGTTACAGAGCGACCTCAGGGGCTGTCATCAGAAAATCCAAGAACTCCAGCAGCTGAAGAAGGATGAGAAAACCAACGGCGCTGAGGTTCGTAGAGCCTGGAGCATTAAAAAGCCATTTTAAAAAGCTTGATGAAGGTGATTTTTGCTCTCAGTACGTGTCTGTTCAACTTGTAGCTGTCAGGGATTGATGATTCTAGAAAGTCAAAGTGTTACTCTTTGCACCTTGTAAAGGAAATGGCAATTAGGTAAAATTCTGTTGCCACAAGTACAAGAAAGTCTTCATAATAAGGTATCTGCTTTTCTTCCAGGTTGGCTCTAAGAATACTCTGAATGGCTTACAATGTTCAAGAATGTGTAGTCAGTCCTTTGGCATTTTGCTCTGAGATTTCCACGGCTCATGTTCTTACTACAGGAACATTCTGTAAGGAGATGGTGGTGGCAAGACAAGAGTGGCAGGGACTATGTTTGTCCTTGGGACCCTTGGCTGGGTCCCATGGTTACTTTCCTTACTTGACAGATATGACAGGTGGGGAATATGAGACAGCAGAAGTTCAACTTCTGAGCAGTCAATCTTGGGCAGACGGAAACAAAATATGGTCAAAGGTGAAGATTATTTCCATGATATCTCAAATAACTTTAGGTTGATCATTGTATATTTCACAAATTGTCATCAAGCCTGGCTTCCAAGAGAAAATATTATGTAAAAGACATAACTAAGGAAAGGAAGAGGGAGTGAGGGGGGGAGTGGACAGAATGTAGGTAACATTCTCCTTTCCCCCTTGGATGGAAAACATGTTTACTTCCAACTTCAGCACTATCTCTTAATCCTTAAAGTAACAGTGGTGTTCATTTAGACAGTATTACTAAAGCAAAGCATATAAGACATTCTATGGCACTAATATAACGCACTTTTAATAGTGCCTGATTTATTTTCAAGAACAGTGTATTTTTGTTGTCAAACTCCTGCCTCCCCTGATTGCCTCCTTTGAGTTAGTGTATTTGAGTATACAACATTGATTTTAATGTTGTTAGCAGATGAGAAAGACCTACCTCCTTTTTCCCCCGCTAACACATTTATTTGAATTATGTTGTTTTAATTGCTGCCATGTTTCTTTAAAAGGAAGGGGCTGAAAGCTTGTCTCAACTTGTGTGTTAAAAGAATCAACTCTAACCTTCTAAGAATTTTGGGGCCAGCAACCTAAAGCTAAGAAAATGAGAACCTGACTTAGCATCCACAGTGGTACTCAGGCTTCCTGGTACTTTCTTTGATCTACCCTGGAGTTGCTAATGGCATTTGTTTCACTGTACATGAATTTATATAAAAGGGGCACACAGCAGGAGAAATCTTCCAAATGCTTCTTCATTTCCCAAATTCCCACAACCAGCTATTGCTAGACCAAGGTGAAGCCAAGAGTCTGGAACTCAGTTCAGGTCTCCCATGTGGGGGCACAGGCCCAGATTACCTGCGCCATCACCAGCTCCTTCCAGGATACATATTAGCAGGAAGCTGGAATTGGAAGTGAAATCAGGATTTGAACCCAGACATTTATATGTGGGATGCTTATTATTAGCATTTGTCATACAGCTGTAGGTCCTTGTGTGAGGCAGTTGGTGGTGGTCATTCCTTCTGTTGTCTGTTTAGTGTTTCCCTTTTGCTTCTGTTTGGTTGATCAATAGATAAAAGCAAACTATCTCATCTTTGAGGACTTGTTTTGTTCAGTCAATCTTTTGCCATCATGATTTAAACCCTGCAATTAAACTCCAGTGTTTTGTTTTGTTTTGTTTTGTTTGTTTTAAAGTGTTACTTCAGTGCTTCTAGTACTTCTTATGTCTGTTCTACCTAACTCAACGTTTAGATATTTCCTGGAAATACTGTTTTGATAATTCTCTGCATAAATGCTAGGTAAATATTTGGAATTAATATACCTATCTGTTCACTTGCTAGATGGGGAGAGGAAGAAGCCATCACTTGACTATTTTAAGAAAATACTGAAGTTCCTAGTCATTAATTAGCCAATGAATAATTTTCTAAGTAAAAAAAAAAATTATTTATTTGAAAGGGAGAGTTACAGAGGAGAGAGAATGTTCTTTCTGTCACCAGAAAGAGGCTGGGCCTGGTCAAAGCTATAAGGCAGGAGCCTCATCCGAGTGTCCCATAGGGGTGTAGCCCAAGCATATGAGCCACATTTCCACTTCTGTCTCAGGCACGTCACTAGGGATCTGGATCAGAAATGGAGCAGTCAGGAATCAAACCGGACCCACATGGGATGCTGGCATTGCAGGCAGTAACTTAACCTTCCACATCAGACTCCTTTTTTCCCCACATTTTTTGTTAAGGAACTTTTTTTTAAACAGAACTTTTTAAAAAAAATGATCTGTTTATTTTCATTTGCAAGGTAGATTTTACAGAGAAAAGAGAGAGGGGCCTTCCATCCACTGATTCACTCTCCAGTTGGCTGCAGTGGCCAAAGCTGAGCTGATCCAGTTAGGAGACAGGAACTTCTTCCAGGTCTCCTGTGTAAGAGCAAGGTCTCAAGGACTTGGGCCAACCTCTGCTGTTTTCTCAGGCCATAGCAGAGAGCTGGATCAGAAATGGAACAGTGGCAGCACAGACTGACACCCATATGGGATGGCAGTGCCACTGCACTGGCTCCCATGGAACTTCTTTTGTATGTTAAAAGAAAGCATAACTGGGAGGTATGTGGAAGATGGAGTAAGCCTTATGTTTTTTTCTGAAAGTATTCAGTTCAGTGTATTATAGGATTCAGTGATTATACAATCACTGTTCCATGAAGGAACTTAGAATCTAGAATAGTCTTGTCCAATAGAAATATGAGAACCATACATTACTTGTAAATTTTCTAGTCATAAGTGAATTGATTTTAGTGGTTTAATTTCACTTAGGGTAGATGCTCCTTGACTTATGATGGCATTACACTTCAAAAAAAACCACCCATCTGAAGTCGAAGATGCTATCCACTGAATCTGCATTCAGTATATCTAATTGCTGTCTATCAATGCTTAGCCTTGCCTATCTTAAATATGCTTAGAATATTTGCATTAACCTATAGTTGGCTAGAGTCTTCTACATGAAGAATATTTTAAAATTAACTGTTGAATACCTCATACAACTTGGTACTGAATAGAATACACTCTCAGTTGTTTCCATTTGTGATTGATTGCATGGCCAACTGGGAACTGTGGCTGGCTGCTGCTGTCCACTCTCACTGGGGAGGGTATTGAATGAGTATTGTATTACATATCACTGCAGGAAAAGTTCAAAATTCAGAACTTGGTTCTGCTGAATTTGTATCAGTCTTGTACCATTGTGAAGTCGAAAAATTCTAAGCAGAACCATCTTACATCAGGCACTGGCTGTATGTGCAAAAAGCACGATCAACTCAATATGTGATCAATGTAACAATGACTTACAGGCTGGATTGCATGTGAGTATGTGTGCTAAGTCCTTGAGTTCTGGCATGTATTTTATACTTAGGCTGCAGTGTGGGCCAGCCATTCTTCAAGTGCTTGATAACCATAGGTGGTAACTGGACTTACATTTAATAGTACATATCTGTAAAGCAAATATGTACCCTGCCTTTTGTATTAAGGATGATACCAGTTTGAACAAGGTTCTGTGAGAACTCTATTTGGGGGTAAAGTCTTTGAGGGCAGGCACTTTTGTACTGACGGACAAATGTAGGAGAGAAGGTGGGAGAGGACATCCAGTCCTGCACAGAAATACAGAAAGTGATGTCATAAGGGAGCTGGCCTGGCTAGAGGGAATGGCCTCAGAACGGAAGTCTGGTTTATCAGCTGAGCCTTTCTGAAGCCTTTAATGAGGCCAGAAAGACTTAAGAGGCTCAAGTGTGATTATACTTTTCATCGAATCCTGAGGTTAATATAAGGTTATAGAATTTCTGTGTTTGCTGCAAGGAAGTCTATTAAAAGAACACATAGGTTTAAACTTCCCTGAGTATCTTATTGCAGAGAATTGGGCCATCAAAATCCTTCCCGTGTACTTCCTAATTGTTAGAAAGACTAGAAAAAATCATATACTATTTGTCTTTTTTCAGATGAGCATTTTAAATAGTGGTATGTTTTTTATGCATGCTTTGCTTTATGTTTTGTGTTGCTTTGTCTTCATATAGAGTAACTTAAGGTTATCACATGGAATTACAGGTGTTTGCTTTTATGGCATGTCAGTATTCCTAACATTAGTTATCTGGACGCTCAGTTCTTGCTCAATAGCCTGGTCGACAGTTACACATTCAGAACGTGCTGCTCTATGACATTGCCAGGATGCAGTGATGACATTTAAAAGGAATGTGGGCAGTGATTGAGAATGGATCAGATACTTCACTGTTCATTCCTCCTGGACAACTGAGTCACTAAGGCAGAATGTGAGAAAGGTGTTAGGAAAACCAAACTGACTCACTGGCTGTCAGGGCCTGTATCTACACTGAAGCTTTTGTGAACACAAGAGACCTTTGATTATTAATCTCACTACAAGTTGTAGTCCAAGCTATTCCAACGGCGTGGCAGGCTGGTATTGAACAGATATTGCAGAAGGTGTCTACCTAGATTCTTCTTTAGACACAGAAAATAGAAAAATAGCATGAGAGCTGGTTGTTAAATCTTTTTCTTGTGAAGATAATGTGTTCCATATTCTGCCTTTAGAATGATACTGTTTGGTGATCCTGGTTTGAAAGAGCTTGGTAAAGAGGCTAAACTTGGGTACTTCTGTGCACGTAATGGATGAAGTCAGCATTAAGTATCAAACCCAGCCATTTGGTGATTTTTTTCACATGCCTCTCTAGTCCCAAACATGGCCAGAGAGATACCAAAGTCACCAAGAATAATCTGGAGGTTGCCAAGGACTTGTTTAAAAGTGTTTTCAAGTCTGACCGAGAACTCTGACATTTAGAAGTAGAAGGATGTGGGTGGGAGGTGAAACTAGGTACAAACAGATTTCTCAATGTACCAGATTGATGTGGCTTTCATTCCCAGTAATAAAAAAAAAATTGACAGTGTGTAAAAAGATAAAAATGAATGTCATAAACTTTAAAAAGTATAGGCTAAAGTGGGGAAGAAAAGGTCATTCTAGGCCCTCAGTAAAAATCCTTAATTGTCTCAGCAGTAACTCCTCCCACCCTTCAATTTGGAGAGAATCTCTAAGATTTATCTAGTTGAAACTCAGAGTTATGGATAAAGAGGGAGAGACAGGAGAGAGAGATCTTCCACCCACTGGTTCATTTCCCAGAGGACGCCAGGCTGGGCCAGACCAAAGCCAAGAGCTTCATCTGTGTCTCCCTAGTGAGTTAGGCCGTTGGTGTTCCCAGGCCATCAGCAGGCAGCTGGATTGGGAGTGGAGAAGCAGGGGCTCCAGCCGCCCACTGTAACACAGTGCTGGCCCTAGCTCTTCTTTCTTCTGGTTGGGGTCATACAATTAACTTGTAATATCTTTGTGACCTCTTTTAATGAAAAAAATACTTTTTTTTAATGGTTTCTTTTTTTTTTTTTATTGTTGCTTACATTGTATTATGTAGTACAGTTTTATAGGCACTGGGGATTCCCCCCACCCCTCCCATACCCCTCCCCCCATGGTGGATTCCTCCACCTTGTTGCATAACCATAGTTCAAGTTCAGTTGAGATTCATTGCTTGCAAACACTTGCCTAGCATAAAGTTCAGCGTCTTATTGTCCAGATAAGTTCAGTGGCCTCTTGGGGAGACCTTCTCTGGTCTGAAGATAGGTCTAACAGAGTAAAGATCCGGTCAGTTAAAAGCCCCAACAAGGCCTCAGTATCAATATACAACATTATGGAATTAATTGACATAGTATTGGGTAAACAATATGTTAAAAATAATGCAAGTTCCCTTCTTCGAAACATCTGGGTTGAGACAGTATCAATGACAGGTTCAAAAAATAACAAACAATCAGTCTCATAATGGTTTCTTTTAAGGTTTACTTATTTGAAAGGTGAGAGTTTTTAGAGAGAGAGGCTTTCCATCTGCTGGGTCACTCTCCAGCTAACTGCAGTGGCCAGAGCTGAACTGATTCAAAACCAGGAGTCAGGATCCTCCCCTGGGTCTCTCACATGAGTGCATGGGCCCAAGAGCTTAGGCTGTCTTCTGCTGTTCTCCCTGGCATGGTAGCAGGGAGCTGGGTTAGGAATGTAGCAGCTGGGACTCCACATGGGTATCAGCATCACAAATAATGGCTCCTATAAAGAACTCTTAAACAAGGAAAACACTCAGATGTTCAGAAGAGAATGTTAGGCTTTATATATTCAAATCTGGGATTCAAACTACAGTATAGCTGCTGCTGTTTCCCTTGCTGAAAATGAGGTTGCTGTCTGCTGTACACCTGTACCAGCCAGGCATGGTCTCATACATGTTGAAGGAAAAAACAAAGTCTGATATGATGAGAAGACAAAGGAAGAATGAAGGTCTATAAATGGTTTCTTTGTGATGTTAACACAAGAAATGCAAAGGAAAGCAACTACCAGATGCCCTTTCTACATGAAATACAGTAATTAAAGATAATCATTGTCATTGGAGATGAAGACAGACTTAGGCAGTCTTTGATTGTAAATAACGAGAAATAATTTATAAATTACTAAGTCTGTATCATGAGTCTTAATTTATACCTATAAAACTATTGAATAAAATATATCCATGAGTTACTATAGGTGTAAATAAACAGAGAAATTAAGTGCTCGGTTTAGTGGTTATGGTGAAAATTAGTATTTGCATAACTTTGACTTTTTTTAAAAGATTTATTTATTTTTATTACAAAGTCAGATATACAGAGAGGAGGGGAGAGACAGAGAGGAAAATCTTCCGTCCGATGATTCACTCCCCAAATGAGCACAATGGCTGGTGCTGCGCCGATCCTAAGCCCAGAACCAGGAAATTATTCTGGGTCTCCCATGTGGGTACAAGGTCTCAAAGCATTGGGCCATCCTCAACTGCTTTCCCAGGCCACAAGCAGGGAGCTGGGTGGAAAGTGGAGCTGCCAGGATTAGAACCTGCACCCATATGGGATCCCGGCGCGGTCAAGGTGAGGACTTTAGCCACTAGGCTATACTGCCGGGCCCAATCTTTTCAAAAGAGAACCTATTTTAGGTATTAAAAAGTTAATGGAGATGCCTGCAAGACACAACTTTCATCAATTGATTATTACTAATGATGAGACCCATTGGGCGCATGTGTGTCCTGCAAACAGCGCACATCACTTTTTGATATTAATTCCAAAGTTGTGTGACCTCAGTTTAGTAAAGAAGGATCAGAAAAGCTCAAATAATTGATTAGTGTTTTTAGAAAATGTCAGTGGCTTAAGACAAATATTGAGGATCTTACATTGGAGGAGACCTAAGAAATGTGATATGTCCTATGTAATCACGGATTTAAGAATCTTAGTCCAGGAAAAAGACATTAGAGAACATTTAAATATATTTGCAGAAGAACTATAGATTTGTTGTTAGTATTATATTCATGTCAATTCCCTAGTATTGTTTGGGGTATACTTGGAAAAGGTAAATGAAAAATAAATAGAAATTATTTGTACTGTTTTCTGAAAAATTTTGTAAGTATGATATTTTAAAATGCATACTTGAATGTCTTAAGGCCCTGGTAGACTTTTCACTTCTTTTTAACATTCAGCCTAACACAGATACTCCGGAAAAAACAACAACTCAGTTATGGCGTGACCCTTCTACATGTGATAAGATCATCAGAGATGATATTTTGCAACTTAAAAATGAAATTCAAGTTTTACAACAGCAAAATCAGGTGATTATATTTTTTCTACATTTTGTGGGTTTGTACAGATTCATTAAATACAAAGGATACAGAGGCTTTTCAGTGATACTGAGACAGTGCAAGTCAGCAGACAAGTATGTTCATGGCCAGTGAATGTGGTAGCCACTGCTTGCCTTTCGTATTGGGTCGCTTTTCACTGGAGGATACGTTGGAGTAAAGCCAGTTTCCTTTCTGTATAGAGCATGGCCAAGCAGGTGTTTTTTCCTCCTTTGCCAGCCCTTCACCAAATAGCAAAACTTCACTTAAAAATTTTTTGATGATCCTGAAATCTGACACATATTTTACCACCTAATATATCCTTGGTTAATTTTTTTATGTGCATTAAAATATAAAAATTTAACTTTTATTTCTGTAAGAAAATTACTTGCTAGAAAGATGAGATTATGCTGTTATCCAGGTCTGAAAAGCTTTCCTTTTCAGAATCATTAAAATGACACTATGTCAAATGATGTTACAGGGTGGGATTCAAGCACAGAATGTTTAAAAAAAATTAGACCAATCAGTGAAAATTATGTCTGTTTCTTTTAAATGGTTTACTCTCTTTGTTTCTAGGAACTTAAAGAAGCCGAAGACAAATTGAGAACTACAAATCAAGATTTATGCAATCAGATGAGGCAGATGGTACAAGATTTCGACCGTGATAAACAAGAGGCGGTGGACAGGTTAGGAGTAGATGGACACGGGAGCCCTGATTTATCCAAGGGATAATCTGATCCCTGCTGCTGAGGGACACCACCTGCCTCCCCTAAAAAAAGGGAAGGAAGAAAAAAAATAATGATGTGAACTCTCCCTGTTGCGAGTTTGGGTTATCAGACGAGTCTTTGGTTTCTCAAATTAGAATTTGGAACTCCTCATCCATAGAAACAGTGTTATACAGTGGGCCTGGTTCTTTGACACTGTTGTAACAACAGTTCACTAAAATATTGTATGGCTCGGTGTTTGCTTTTTAAAGACGAGTCTGGGAAGCAAACTATTCTTTATAAAGGTTAAAAAAAAAATCTGTGGGAAGGGGAGTATGTCTTCCAAATACCAAGTCACGAGCTTGGAAACAGACCTTTGGAGCATAACTTACGTGTGAGTTGGGTACCACTAGGGCTTGTGTTTAATATGGAGGACTTGGAATTTTGGAACCATGCCCTCAATTATTTCTCATTAGTCTTTTATAAACACAAGTCTTCAACATGGATTAATCTCTGTGTTTGATGGATGGGGGCATTTTGCACATCCAATTTTCTATTTTTTTTTTCTGTGGAAACATTTGAGAAAAGAAATCTTTGAAGGCTCCCATGAGCTCATTGGTTGTAGATTAATTATTGCCGCTTTGAGTTGAAGCAAAGCCTTCTGGCCTCTGTCGTAATTCACACCAGGGGGGAGGTTGGGAAGGAAGGCAGCATGGCCACTTCATTTTGGCGCTTGTGGTAATCCCGGCATTGCCTTAGGTTCCACTCTCGCCTTCTAGGTGTGAGAGGACATACCAGCAGCACCATGAGGCCATGAAAGCCCAGATCCGTGAGAGCCTCCTGGCGAAGCACGCCTTGGAGAAGCAGCAGCTGTTTGAGGCTTATGAAGGGACACACTCGCAGCTGAGGTGAGAGGAGGAGAGTGCAGCCGCCCCGGAGACTGGACACTCTGTCGGCCTCTTACCCGCCTTAGAGGGAAACGGCGCTCCACGTTGACTGGCTGGGTTTGTGTTTTCCAAGGTCTGACTTAGACAAGATCCATAAGGAGATGGCTGCCGTGCAGGAGTGTTACCTGGAAGTGTGCAGGGAGAAGGATCATCTGGAAGTGACCCTCAGGAAGACCTTTGAGAAGGAGCAAGAGGCCCAAGAGAAGAAGGTAGTCAGTGGGTGGCACGTCTCCATCACTGCGCGGGTTCTAGCCTCGGCACTGCCCTCTAGATTTGTCCTAAGGGGAACAGAATGGGGAAGAAGTTTCATCTTGGCTCCTTTACCCTCAGATAACTCAGAAACAGAGTGAACTTTGAAGTGATTAACAGCAGCTTAAGCAGAGAGTGATATATAAATAATTTTTCCCTTACAGATTGATACTAGAGGGCAAAAGAAAAAAAAAAGGTGGTGCAGTCTGGAACTTAAAGATAATCACTCTTCATTTGTTTGTTCTACCCTCCCTTGGTCCTGTGGGCACTGCACGCAGTATTCCCTAGAGGCCAAGTCCTCTAACTCCTGTACCTCTCAGTAGCTCAGTGTCATTTTATCCATGTCTCACAGTGGGGAAAGTCAGAGTGTTGGTGCAGCCTCCACAGTGCGGCTGCTGGGGCTAAGGTGGACTCTGCCTCTGCCACCTGATGTTTCTGAGTTGTCCTTGGCAAGTCCCCACGAATAGAATACTGTGCCTGCACTTGGGCTGGCTGGCTGCCACCCCAAGACACCAGTCTGACTATCCCTTACACTTTGGACCGGGTGGCACACCACAGTTTGGAAGCCACCTGCTCTGAGATTAGAAAAACATCTTTGGAGAGGCAGGGTTGATCCCTTGTGCTTATAAATCTGTACAATGAAAAAAATATTTTTGAAGGCTTGAAGCATTATCCTATATAGAAGTTTTTGTAATAAAAAACAGTAAAGCAAACTTGCTACCACAGACTTTAAAAGAATAGTAATGAGCAGGTGAGGAGTTCATTTAATATTTTGATTATTTTTGAATAGGTTAATATAAAAAAAACTTTCCTGCATATGTGTAATTTGGTGGAAAAAGAACTTCTAAAAGGAGTTGTTTTAGTCACTGCTGAATGTCAAAAACTTTAAAGGAATCTTAAGTTACCTAAAAATTGAAGACTCAGCTTTCAGTAATGTTTTAAAAATTAGGGAGAAGATCTCTAATTTTTTTTTTTTTCAGAAAAATATATAGTTTGGCAAGAACATCAGAACAGTTCTCTCAAAGAGGTCATTCTTTTCAGGAATATATTTTTCATGGATTTCAAAGAATGAATTTGCCTGTTAAGTTGAATCTCCTATAACAGGGCACCTGCAATTAATAGCTGCTACCAACTGAAGTCCTGGCTCTCAAAGGTTTGTGCACAGGAAGGAAACTTAAAGCTAAGCTGTCCTTTGGTGCATCACAAAGAAAAACCTTCGAGGTGAAATGTTATTCCTTAAAAATTTCCAATTATCATGCAGTAAAATTGGCCCCTTTGCCCACGTGGGTTGTGTCGTTCCATACTTTTTTTTCACACGCACAGCCTCACTAGCACACAGAACAGCTGTATCCTCCTCAAACACATCTGTGCCATTAATTTGAGGTTGCCCTCACTCCTACTTAAAGAATCAATATATCTAAAGCATTTGAAGTTTAATTTCTTTATCTGGAAACTAGCTTTCTGTTACAAATTTATGTAGGCCTTTGTTAGAACTGAAACATTTATAGATAGCAGACATTATCAAGGTTTTTTTATATATATATCCTCGGTAAGTGGGTAGATACACTGATTTGTTTGCCTAGAAAATGTTTCCTATGTGTACAACACAGGATTCTTATTAAGCTTCTGAGCAAATGGGGGGACTTCAGAGGGAGGCGACCTTCTCTGCAGCTCAGATGGCCCTTCCCTGCTGCTGGGTTTTAGGAAGGAAATGGTCTAAATGTAGAATTTACGATACTGCTATATCCAAATGGGTTCTTTCACGTGTCTTAGGTGCTGTATTGCTAAAAGGCTTGTTGAGTCCTGCTGAGAGTAGGGGCTCTATTCTAGCTATTGTTGGTGCATAGAACTTTCCTTACATGTTAACTTGGCTCATCCAAAGAAAGAAAATGAGTCATAGGACCCTTCAGATTGGGTAGTAATCAGGAAAGCCCATGACCTTGAAGAGAAGACCTTGTAATGTTATTCCCGTACATGTTGAAGCTCAATGCTGCAACCCAAGCCAAGTAAGTCCTTAGAGGTTTTGTTTCTGTTTTGGCCATCTAAGCCATGCACAACCAGTTGAAATGTTTGTAACTTGGAGATGATTAGTGTTTACAAAGATGCTTGAATTTTGTTCAAAGAGACAGCTATTGGAATAAAGAGAAGAATGTATAAGCCAACTGCAGTTGAAACTTGAAGAAAAGTACCAATAGACCCAATAGACCCAAGAGAAAGTGGTTGAAAAAACAATAAACTAGCATCAGACAGTGGATTGAAAAAGAAGTGGAGTTAGCCAGAGCATACTGGGATAAGGAACAGAAAGAGGTGTGGGTTAAATTCCTTCCCAGACACCATGTCTTAAAAATGCAGTATGAGTTACAGAAGACAATTTTTTTCTGAACAAGATGTAAAACTTTTCATTGCCAAAACCCTACCTAATCCAGTCTGCCTTTCAGAATTAGGCTTTGGCAGTTTACCACACCAGATGTAGTTTTTAACTTTCCCCTTCTTAACTCTTCACCCCAATTTAGGATGTAACAGTTTTCTGAGCACAGTGCTGAATCTCTAAAGCCACGATCCAATTTCTTGTTTAAAATGATTCTCATAATTCAGGTTAGTATCCATGGTTAACAAATAAGGACCCGTGCCGTGAATCAGAAAGAAGTCACAGGCATAAAACTGATCATTTCTGTCCCCTAAATGGCAAATGAGATTGGGAAGTGAGGTAGTAGTTTCCTAGAAAGTTAAGGACCGAATAATCAGGGAAAGATTTTAGAACCCTGGATACACAGGAGATGGGGAAACAATCAAGAAAAGCAAATTCCACTTTCCATGGTTTTGCCTATGATTGATTGTGTTCATGTCTGCCCCACAAGTAAAAGTGGAAAAATCATTAAGACGTTCTTCCAGCGGTGCCTCTCTTTGAATGCAGGCTACACCGTAACATTTAACATCATTACCAGTAAAATACTGATGTGTTCAAATGAATCAAATTAGTTTTTTTCAGTCGTTTGCTTTTCAGTTCATTATTAGGTTTAGTGGCCAGTTTTTGGAAAGCATGGAGGTGATGGCAAAATAGCTACGACTATCAGAAATTTTTCGATGCTGTCTTTGCAGTGGCAATATCAGTGCAAGGTAGTCTGACCTTACGCACACCACAATAAAATATTCCATGTGATTTTTTTCCCTGTTATACAGTTATAAGATCAAAGTATAACTCTCAAGCTAGCCTTAAGACTGTATTTTCATTGATTAGATCTTTAAGGCTCATAGCTACAGTCACGTTGAGATGGTTTTCAAACACAGCTGTGGTTGCTTTTTTAACTAGCTATTAATTCCAGTTTTGACTTCCTTGAATTTTTTTTTTTCATATGATTTTTCTTCTGAAAACAGATCAAACAAAAACTCATCCAACAGCTTGAAAAGGAGTGGCAGAGTAAGCTGGATCAAACTATAAAGGCCCTGAAAAAGAGGACCTCTGAGTGTGGGAGCCAGACCGACCACGGAGTCACCCTTGATGTGATTTCCAAGAAGGAGATGGCAGGCATGATAGAAGAACAGAAGCGAAAGATCCAGCAAGACTTAGAACATGAGAAAGAAACAGCCGTCAAGGGGGCGTTGAAGAAACTTGAGATTGAATTGGAACTCAAATATTGTGAAAATATTGCCAAACAGGTAATCAACAGGTTCATTACAGTAAAATTATCAGTATTAATGGAAACTGGCAAAATGCTACTGTTGAATTGTGATTCCTCTGCTTTGATAAATGAGGAGACTCGGTACGTTCTTTGTGGGTTTTTTTTTTCTTTAACTGCAGAACTCGAATCTTCCAGTGTTTCTGCATATTCTTTCAGTGTATGACTCTTGTTCCTCTGAGAGCAGTCTGTATTAAGGTGCTGAGATTAATATGATGGCAGTTTCACATGTGAATGGAGTGCAGTTTAGCTAGGAATCCAAAGTTACAGAAGCTGTCCCACGATAGTAGTTATACATAACTAGATTTAAGCAAGTAAGATATATAATTATATATATATATTGCAATTGGATGCAGGGTGGAGTGTGGAGGCGGGTCTGTGATTTCCGACAGCTGTCACAAAGTGATGCTATTGCCTTTTGAAGTGCTCACTGGACTAAGTTGGCTGAGGCAATTTACTTTGAAACAAGCCTCACACTGAGAAAAGAACAGCCCATGTTAGCATCAAGATGAGTTATTACCAGTTACAGTGATTCTCAAATGTCTTGGTTTCAAGACTTAGGACTCTCAAAAACTATTTATTTATTTATTCATTTTTGGGGGGGGCACTTGTATCTGTTCATCCTATTAGAAAATGATTTTGAGCGTTTTAAAAATGAGAATACTCAGGGTCAGTGAAATGGCGTAGCAGGGCTAGTCCTCTGCCTGCAGTCTCATGTGGGTACCAGTTTGACCTGGGAAAGCAGCCGAGGATGCCCTTAAGCCGTTGGGTCCCTGCACTCACATGAGAGACCCGAGGAAGCTCTTGGCTCCCAGCCTCGAACCAGCCCGTCGTCAGCCCTTGCAACCATCTAGAGAGTGAAACAGCAGGTGGAAGACTTCTTTATCTCTGTAACTCTGATTTTCAAGGAAATTAAAAAAAAAAAATCTTAAAAAAAAAATACACAGACACACAGCTCCTTGGCTGTCAGAACGATGGTGTCATCCCCCGACGGCCTCTCATTCTGTGCCCTTTACACATGAGACTGCAGCACAAGAAGGCAAACAGTGCCTTAACACAGCACAAAGTTTTCTCTTCCCCTCACAGCCTGGCAGGGTCTGTCCGGAGGAGACCCTGAACCTTATACATCCACCTGTTCTGTCTTTATTAGAAACCTGTAAACCAGATACTGTCAGAAGTAAGATGACAAAAATTATATCCATCCCCTGGGGACTAAATTCTACTTACTTGTTACGTTATTCTATGTGATTTCGTTGGGCATCCTTCAGGTATTGAAACAGGCATATATATATAAGGGTATACATGTCAGGGCATCAAGGGCATTAGCCAGTAAAGTTATCTGAAATGTTTACCGAAAGTTTTGAACATAGTTAAGAAACTGTTCCATAAAGAGATTTGTTTGAAAGTACTACTTTGGTGTCTATGCATTACAGCTCTTAAACAGCAAAACAGCAAGCTTAATACGATAGGAAGGAAGGGTTTCACAGTAACCTTTTCAAGGAGTATAAATTCCTAAGAGAGCTTTTTCTTTTCCCCACACTTTTAACTCCCAGGAGTTTACACGGAGATGGCGATTTAGCACTTTGGCAAGGAATACAGCTTCCTATGTCCAATCTACTTTAGTGTGTGTGTATGGATTACATGTAGGTGTGACTGTGTGTATTTTAAAATAAGGAAAAATTAAGAAATGATTTTGTGATCACTGTTGACAGATTTACCTCTAGGTCGCTTTATAGTTCTTAAGTTTTTGCCTGCATTGCAGCATGGCCCTCATCCTATTGTTTGCTAGGTATAAGGCTCTAAACTCTAACGGTTGGGGTTGTTTGTGGGCGTGTGAGGAGGTGGTAGGGGTCCTGATTGGACAGCAGCAGGGACCAAGCAGCCCTGTGGCTGGCCTTCCCCGTGTCCTCCGCCCACCCCAAAAAGTAGGATTTTGTTGGGAAAGGCAATCAATGACTCGTACAAAGTTCCTCACCAGACCGATTTCCCCTGTTGAGTTGCAGCAATAAGTTGGACACTATTGGGAGCAGAGAAAAGAAAGTTAGCATGTGCTGTTCGGGATGAGGGAGGGAGTTGGAAGTTAGTGTGACTGTCGTGAAATATACTGTTAAAAATACATGTCATCCTAGCTGCTGTTTGATAATGGGGTCTTTTAGGAATTTTATAATCCACCTCATCTCTTTTGATATGTTACAGGTGGAAACAGCTGTGCAAAATGCCCGTAATCGATGGCTGGAAGAGCTGCCTGAGCTCGCGGAGTATAAAGCACGTGTCAGAGCAGAGCAGAAGAAGTGGGAGGAGCAACAGGAAGCAGCCGTGGCCAAGCGGGTATGAGCTTTAGAATGCACCCACCTGTTGCAGGCCTCTTGCTTGGCCTCTTTGCTCCCGACCTGCTCCTGGAGCTGAAGGGTTGACTGCACAGGAAGCACTGGCTCAGGACCTTTCAGGGCGCCTGTGTGTGCAACACTCTCAAGTTGTTCAGAGAGAGAATGTATGCTAGCCATTAAAATCTGGGTCATTACGGTAACTTAGACTTAGGAGCTAAATTTCTTCTCTTTTACTCTGTAATTAACACTGAGTATTACTTAATATTGAGTATAATGTAGCATAACATTGAGATAGAGGGTTTATCTGCTTAGTATCAGCTATATAGTATCCCTTCACAAACTTGAAGACTTTTTTTGTGTGCTGTCAGTAGTCTTGTAATATATTGTCTGGTAAATAGCCAACTGCCCTTTTCAGAGATGTCATGTTTCCCAGTTGCCCAATACTTAGCTATTATACTCATGGTGCCATTTTATGCCACATATATAAATCATTTTAACACAATTACACTAGATTGCAGCATCAAGCATGTACTACCAGGGCTAGTGCCACAACATAGTAGGTTAAGCCTCCACCTGCATGTTGGCCTACCATGTAGGTGCTCGTTTGAGTCCCAGCTGTTCCACTTCTGATCCAGCTCCCTGTTAATGTGCCTGAGAAAGCAGCAAATGGTGGTCCACGTTGTTAGGCCCCTGGTACCCATGTGGAAGGTCCAGAAGCAGGGTAACTTCAGAGCAGCCTTGCTTTGGCCATTGTGGCCATTTGGGGAGAGAACCCCAGCGGATGGAAGATTTCTTTGTTTCCCTTCCTTTCTTTGTAACTTGACCTTTCAAAAAAATAGAATTTAAAAAAGTTTTATTTTGGAAAGAAAGGTGATGTATAGCAGCAACTGCAAGTGACTCCTATCTTGTAATCTTCAACTAACTTCAGAAGTTACTTAGGAAATTATGCAACATAAAAAGCTATTGGAATATATTTTTAAGATACATAGTAGTACACGGATGTTCACCACATTATCCTCCATACTTTTCAGCCTGTCTGAAATATTTCAAGAGGAAATTTGAGAGAAAGGAACAATGCAGTGGTGAGAGTACGGGTCTCACTCCAGAAGTCAAGTAGGATGACAGCATTGGGTAGAATATACAGCTAAAGCAGGTCACTGGATCTGCCGATAAGACCAGAGAGCACAACTGGAATGGATGTAGCAATGGCATCTCAGCAGGCAGGCAGAATAACCTCCAGAGTGCGTCAAAGCTTACGTTCCTGGCCTGCACTCCTTGAGGCAGCGATCTGGCGGGTTTGGCATGAGCCCTCGAAATGTACCTTTCCATCAACCAGTCAGGTGACCCGGCTGGATTTCAGAGCCCACCTGGGTGGACACTATTATCATTAGCCACTGAGCATAATGTTACCAGTATCCGTGCTGCAGTCCGTGCAGGAGCCAGGCAAAGAGAAGTTTCTGGCAGTGCTGGGGATTCTGTTAGGATGCGAGGCATCTGTGAAGATCCATGGTGATGTAAAGCCAGTTTTTACAGTTCAGAAGAGGTCAAGGTGACTCAGGGGTTCCCCAGTCTTTGCGGCACATTGGAACAACCTAATGATCTTTTAAAAACTCAGTCACTTGGCTTCCACCCTCAGACTGTATGTTCTGATTGGTATGGGATGTGGCCTGTACATTAAGGGTTAGTCCTTAGGTGATGCCTGGCACATGGCAAAGCTTGGGAAGCACTGAAATGATCAATGTCAAAATACCCTTGTACAACTTCCTATGAGAAGATGCCTGTTATTTTTTTGGTAAGGGTTGGGCAGGTCATCCAGTTCCGCTGAATCCACCTCCACCCCAATCACTTAGCAGGGATTTGTAGGCATGATCCATTTTCTGCATAAACACTGCATAAATCACTGCTGATTTTATTGTTAGCAAAGAGATTTTGTAGTAATTTCCTTTGTAAGGCTCATCTTAGACCATGGATTTCTTTACTAGAAGTTTAGTAATCTTGTCATTATCCCAAGCATAGGTAGGTTGTGTGTATAGTTACCCCTTGGTAACTGAGGGGCGCTGGACCAAGGACCTTCCTGAATGTACAGACACCCAAAAATGCTCAAGTCTCTTGTGTAGAATGATGCAGTACATGCATATAACCCATCCACATCGTCCAATGTACTTCAAACATCCCCAGATTACACGATCTGCCTAATAAAACATAAACACCATAAACAGTTGTGTGTCCTGGTGACTTTGAATTCAGTTAGGGAAGATATAAGAGGGACTCTAAGTTACCATCCAGTATACTCACCTGTGTAAGTGAAGATGCTAACTGCTAATGATGATTGGCTTTTCTAAGCCCATTTCTAACAACTTTGTGACATTCGTTGAATCCATACCCTGCACAGTCTCTGGGCTAAATGCTTTTTTAATTTCCTATGCCATTGACTCTTAAGTACCCTGTCAAACTGGTAACTAGCCTATGTTATAGATGCAGTCGAGATGCAGGGAAGCCAGGGAACGGCCAGAGCTCCCTTGCTGCTCAGCTAGCTGCAGCAGTGTGTCTCTCGAGTCTGTTCTGTTGAGCACAGTGGCAGGTGTCTGATCCGTGCGGGGCGAGTGTGAGAGTTCAGGATTCTTCTTTCACTGTTTGGTTTTAGTCTTTGCCTGTTAGAGTCTACGATCAGGTCATCCTGTTCTGAAAATTAGATGAAAAATGACTAGAGCCTTGTTATTTACTTAGTTATGCTCCCTTTAAACCGACACAAAATTAAGGGATTACCAACATGTTACTTCTGAGTATCAGCAAGATTTCCTTAAGAGACTGGCTTTGTTTTAGGTAAAAAAAAAATACAATTTTTAGAGTTTACACTGTATTTTGCTTGTAATTATAAATATGTATATATTTTAAGAAACTAATACAAAATATTTTTATGGAATTAGCTAATATAATTTTGTATGAGTATGTCTAAAAGTTCATGGAAAATAGTTGAAATATTTTGGTATAAAAATAATTTGAAATCCTTGGACTGTTATTTTTTATAATTTGCATTTCCATGAACTTTTGGAAGATCCTTCATGACAATTTCTACTTTAGTTCTGTATCAGGAATAAGTGTTTTCTAAATAATATACAAACTGTAAGATGACATAAAGTAAGGAAAAAGATCTTAAATATAAATTTTGCAGAGTATTGTACTGAAATTCATGTTTCCATGTAACTTTTTAAAAGATTTATTTGAAAGAGTTACAGGAAGAGATTGATTGATCTTCCATCCACTTCCCAAAGGGCCACAGCGACTGAGGCCTGGCCAGGCAAGAGCCAGGAGCTGCTTCTGGATGGTGCATGTGGCTTCAAGGACCCAAGTACTGGTCCATCTGCTGCTGCAGCCAGGGCTCCAGTGGGTGCCCATGTAGAATGCTCGTAGCACAGGCAGCAGCTTAGCCCAGCATGCTACAGTGCCAGCCCTCGGTTGCAACTCCCATATTTTCTTTAGCTTGTTTCCTTTGTTAATGGGGAGAATCATAAAAATTTTCATTCTGGTCTTCAGATATCACTTGCTGTTTGCGAAGCTAAAGAGAACTGGAAAAGTGAGCTGGAAAATATGAAGAACCATATACTACCCGGAAAGGAGCTGGAAGAAAAGATTCATTCCCTTCAAAAGGAGCTCGAGTTAAAGAACGAGGAAGTCCCTGTAGCTCTCAGGGCTGAGCTGGCAAAGGCTCGCAGTGAATGGAATAAAGAAAAGCAAGAAGAAATCCACAGACTTCAAGAACAAAATGAGCAGGATTACCGACAGTTCTTAAACGATCATCGAAATAAAATTGCCGAGGTCCTTGCAGCAGCCAAAGAAGACTTTGTCAGACAAAAAGCTGAACTGCTGCTGCAGAAGGAGACAGAACTACAGGCATGTCTGGAGCAGAGTCGCAGAGAGTGGACCGTGCAGGAAGCCCGGCGGATGCAACTGGAAGTCTACCAGTACGAGGAGGACGTCCTCACTGTGCTGGGCTTCCTCTTACGGGGTGCTCAGCAGGAGTATGTCAGCGGCTCCGAGGACAAGCAGCTTGTGGAAATCATGTCCGTTTGTTCCTCCAAATGGGTGTCTGTGCAGTATTTTGAAAAGCTGAAGGCCTCCATACAGAGAGCATTTCAAGATACGTTTTCCCTCCTTGCTGACAATATGAGCCTGGAGTGGGAAAAGGTATGTTGTTGGGAAAAGGAGCATCACAGATGCCTGCGAGGTTCCGCATGGTATCTTTTTACCTTTCTTCATTGTATCACTTAACAGGTTGATGACTTGGCAATGGTTTGAAAGATTCCTGTAGAAATTCTAAAGGACTGCATGTTCCTAAAAACAAAACACTTACTTTGTAAGTGCCAGTTTCGAGGCATGGCTTTTAGCCTCTGGAAAAACACACCAGGGCTTGAGAATTGTGAATCTGAGTTTCATTGGTTACTTTATGGGTGCCTGCAGAATGAATGAAGTAGGTAGATTGGTCGCCAAGACCAGCTTTTAGTTTGTGTGAAAAAAGATGCCTTGCTACATTTTTCAGTCAAGTATACATAAAAGATCCAAAATGATATTTTGGATCAGCCGCTTTCAACGTTTGAAATTAGAGGGGGGGAAAAATGCCAGTGTTTAGAAGACTTTCTTGATAGAGGAGTTGTTAAATAGGTTTAGGCCTATTAATATATCTTCAGTTTCAGGGTCAGAATCAAGTGTTTGGCAAGAGACATATGCTAGCTAAGACAAACCTGAGTTCTGGTCCCACACTTGAGACCCGCCTTATTGCTTCAGGCATTTACTTACTGGCTCGTCTGAAAAGCGGAGTCCAAACCTCAGGCCTGGTTCCCTGGGGTTTGGTAGGATATGCTCAAGACAGCGTAGCCTTTCCGCATGGTACATGTGAACCAGTATAGAATCGTAACATTACAAGGTGTCCCACCACAGTTCATCCCTGTTGATGCTTTTATTTTTGATTTCATGGTACTGCGTAGTTGTCTTCAAGGTAAAAATAACCAAGCAAGGCCACTTTCCCATAAACAGTCCTTAATGCTTTAATCTGAACTTTTAGGGAAATTAAAATTTAAAAAATGATCTGTGGCATGTTTTAAAATGAGAAGTGGGCAAATTATATGTTTTGAAGTGTGTTTTTCTGAAAAGGTGGGTAAGAAGCTATGGTACCACACCTGATCAGTTGCAGATGTTGTCTTTCATAGGGTTTATGATAAAGGCGAGCAGTGTTAAGATCATCCAGGTGATTTAATGGGACTCAGGAGTCTATGGAGGCTCGATCACATAGTCTAGCTCAGAGTCCAGACTTTCCCAGCTTCTGTTGGGCGGGTCAGATTTTATCCCTGAGAAAATGCCTTATGAAATTCCTAATTTGGCATTTGTTATGGAAATAAAATTTGCCCTCTTGCAGTTTTTAAGCTAACTGAGAACCTTGGGGTAAAGCAGTGATTATAAATTCATAATACAGGTTCCATAAATGTGAAGAACCACGATGTATAATTTCTTAAGTGTGTTGCTTGTAGACTTGCTGATAGAAATTAAAAACAGGAAGAACTGCTCATCAGCATGCATAAACAAGTCCTCATTTACAGAATGGAGATCCTCAAGATTAGAATGGAGAGGATAAAATGAATGGAAAATAGTTTAATAAAAATGGGTAACTCACAAAATGTTAATAGAGCGTACAAAATTTTGCATTTGAGGTTATATGTTCTTGTCTTTTCATTTTAACAAAGTCAGACCAGAAGTTTGCCACATTCCTAGCTGTTTTGTCATGGTGGCTTTTCTGCAATCTTGAGTAGGGACCAGAAACATTGATGCCTTTGGATTCAGCTTTTGTTCTTCGCTTTGGCTTGAGCCCCCTGGCCTCTTGACTGGGTAGAACTTTTGCCTTTTTCTGCTTTTGCTGACCTGTTCTTGTTGACCATCCAAGGTAGGTTTCCTGACAGTCCGTTGAATGAGTTCTTCATAATCTGAACTAAGACTTCTAGAATCAACCTCGTTTTATCTTTAATAGGCAGTCTCTTCTCAGCCTTTCAGTTAAGATCAAATATAGCAATTAGGCAGAAGTGCTTTCTCAACATCACACTATGGCTTTGTGATTTACTGTTTGTGTAAAGTCTGAGACATATTGCTTTAAAAACTACTAATGAATTTAGGAATCATATTGCCTATAACAAGTATGGGAACATGAAAAATCATTCAGTGTTAGTGCTGAAGTAGTCTTGCGCTACATGTTTGCTTTGGCTAAGCCTCAGCTTCTGTTAACACTGGAATTCAACTGGCCTTTTTTTTTTTTACATAATGACAGTTTGTTAAAGTATTTAGAAGGATATGAAATACAACCATGGTAAAAGTAATTTTGTATATTATATTCAGTTTGTTGGAGTCAAAAGCTTGTTTTACAGTGGTTAATGAACTTGGTTCCTGTTGCAACTCTAGAAGGTGCTCTGGATTTGGAAGAACAATTCAGATTTCCCATTGTCCATACCTGCAGTAGAATCATGTAGACCATTAAATGGCTCAAATGCCTTTGTGTGGTATATAGGCTGTCTGAACACTCCTGTGATGCTTTGTATGATCATGGGACAACGGTCGATGGTATAGACAATAGTTCTGTGATACAGGCCAGGCAAGTCTTTCTTTTCTATTAGCATTTTAGGTAAAAATTTGTGTGAAGATGTTTTTTTCCTGGATATTAACTTTGAAGATAATTGATTGCAGGGGCGTATGGCTAAGATCTCCATGGATGCTGCCAAGGATGGCACCGGCAGAGCAGCCCCAGCAGCCCTTCCCACGTCTATGTCTGGACGCTGTGCCCAGCCATTGCCGTGGCAAGAAGTGGAACCAGCAGCAGAAACTGGTAACTAAATTTTGTTCCTACTCTTCTCTGTAACCTCTGGAATGGCCATCCCCAAGGGTGGCTTTGAGGAACAAATCAAATCTGTGAGTGGTTTTGTTAATGAACTCATTCATATGTGCTGTTCCTCCCACTTAATGTGGGTCCTGTCTCTTGATTTGATTTTGTGTTTTTGAAGTCAGGCTTAATTGGGACGTTCTTTTCATGGTTTTCCTTGCATGTACAACTGATGCTGATCAGAGAATTGCCAGATAAGTATGTTTCATTCAAATTCCTAAAGCTTATCTCAACCATTTTAAACATAAAAATCAGCCTGCAGTGTATAAGTTTTCTAACTTATTTGTGACTTATTTTTTTTAATAATCAAAGGCACTGTTTAATTTCTAACAATGTCTTAAATTTCTTCCTCTCTTAATATGTGATAGGGTAGATGGTACACAGTATGTACTACTAAAATCTTGGAGAAATTTACAGTGTAACTTTTCCTAAGCTTGTCATTAGGAAAAGGAATTTGTGTACTGTGCCACATAGCCTGAGGAATAAGGGCTTCCATTGCTTCCTCTCGAGTTTTCTAAGGTCTAACCTCTGTGATTAGCTCCCAGCCTCTTTTAGGGTGTCATCCCCTTGCAGCCTGCCCCTTCACAATTTTCACTGCAATCTGGCAGAACTAGCAATTGCCAGAGCAAATTATCCACCCCAAGCCGATAACCTTAGGTGTCACACAATTCTAATCCTGTTGGTCACATTACCAGGATGTTAGGTGAGCACCACCTGTTAGTTCATAGTTACACAAGCCCTTTATCCTTACTTCTGGAGGGTTGAGAATATTGTCTGTTAAGCAGGTGGTAATACTACTGTATGTCTTTTCAGTTTTTGGTCATATTTGGAGCAGCCTGGCAATTATTTCTTTGCCTTCCACAGATTAAAGTATACGTTTTAAAGGTTGTCTGGCTTTAGGAAGTCCTATAAATATGAAAGAATTAGACTTGGACAAGTCAGACTGTAAAGAGGATTTATTTCTGTAGGTTTTTTTCTTTTCTCAACAAGTTTGCTAGAAAGAATGAAATAAATCAAAACAGACATTAAGTGATGAAGGTTTTCATGCTCCCACCACCAGATAATCACTGTTGTTTGGCTCTATGCCCCTGGCATTTTAATACTTAAGTAACGTCAACATCAGTGATGAAACACTTGATACATGTAAGAATGTGTGTGATGCATAGGCAACATAGGGGAGTGTAACAGCCAGGAACTTTCATCATTTAAGAAATAGAACATCAGCGATGCTGCGGACTACAGTTCTTCCCTCCAGCCTGAGGTAACAAGTAATTAAATACGCTTAGTTGTAAAAAGTTGTTTGTCTTTACCACTCATGTCTTTTGTGACTTGCTTTCTTTCTACAGAGTTTTGTTTGGTTTAATGCATATAGCTCTATTTCTCTATTTCCACTGCTACCTAGTATTTCACAGAGAAACATACTAAAATGAATATCTGCTCTCATCAGTGGGTATTTGCATGGTTGCTGTTTTTACAAAAGTGTCTCATATGAAAAATATGAGTGTTTGGTATGAATATGATGCTTCGTTGTCCGAAATGGTACCATTTAAATGAAACAGGAATCAAGAGAGCTGATTAATTTAATGAGCTTGTGCTGATTATGTCAGTGACAGTAGTGAAAGTTTATAAAATTACAATGACCAATTATACAGATTATACAATTTGATAACAGTAGCTGTTTAGCATGTGATAAAAAGAAAGTATCCTGCATAGCACCTGGAATTCAGCAAGTTTCGAATCATGTTTTTAAATTTGGAGATGACTTCAAGCTTATTAGCTGCAAAGTAAGAAAACCCAGTAACATGTCTTTTGTAATAACACTTTACCCAGTAGGTGTTCCTCTGTGTGTCTGCACATGTGAGAGGGACAGACTGTGACCTTTTGTGCCTGAATGCTTGGCATTTTCTAAGGAAGGGGATTATTGTCCTGAATAGGCATAATATAATAAAGAGAAAAAGTGAGACCACAAGCAGTAGATTGATATAAGACTTGTGAATTGACCCCATATTGTCTTGGGCAGCATTTACTTCCCTCCAAGGCAGGAAGGAGTCTGTCTGGGGTCAAGTGTCACATTGAGTTATCAGGTCTTTAGCCTGTTTCAGTCTGGAGCTTTCCACAGCCTCTGTGTCACAGGTGACAATGACATTTGAGAGAAGTATCTCCTGCATCCTTTTGTGACAGTGTTCATCATTGGGGTTTGTCTGCTTCTTCATGAGCAGATTCTTGCCTGCACACTGCTAGGGTGATATATTGTATATTTGGCCAAAATGTTTCCCAGTTTGTTCATTCATCAGTATTTATATAGTGAACAACCCATAGGGAGACACTTAAGGCCATGCAAATATCCTTTTCCTGTTAAGTTTGCTGATTCTTACCTGATCCATTCTTTACTATGGTGTTTGCAAAAATGTATTTTCTCCCAATTCTAGACCTCCCTACCTCGCTACCAGGTGGGTGCTCAGTGTGGTGTAATCGGGAATCTCCATCTACCTGTCTGTCTTGCCTATTTACCAACCTTCCTACTCATCCGTCAAATCATTCAGGATTACTGGTATGACTCTTGATAATTTATAGTTCATTGTGTTGTTTAGTGATGCTCAAATTGACATCAATTAGAGAGCCTTCAAAATATGTTCTTGTGTTGTGACTGAACTTGAGTATTTTCTGGCATGGCAAGATCTTTGCCTCTTTGTTCCTTTCCCAGAGCCTGCAATCATTTCTTGAAGAGCCTTGGTTCCTTTTAGTAGATGATGTTCTGTGCTATAACCTGAACATAGGATTCATAGAAGTGTTATAAGTAGATGATACTATCCAATTTTACATATGAAGAAGTTCAGTATGCTAATCCCACTGCCTGTAACTGGTGGGAATAGGACTTAAACCTAGGTTTCCGTCTTAAGCAGCCTACTTTTTCAGTTATCCTAGAGCCTTCTGTTCTGAGTCATTATCTGGTTTGCTTTTGGTAGTTCTCCATCTAAACTGATGTGAAAGCTTTCTATCATTTAATTTTGCAGATAAGAAAAAGAGCCATGAAATTAAAGATCTGTGCTGTGGACCCTGCTTTCAAGAACTTGGAAGGGCAAAGCAGGAATGTCAAGATCTGAAAAGAAAACTGGAGACATGCCGTAGGCATCTTCAGCATTTAGAAAGGAAGCACAAGGCTGTAGTGGAAAAAATTGGAGGTTAGCATTGACAGTAGCACTGCTACCGCCATGAATCTTTTATCCTTGTTGGCACAAATGTTCTAATGTGACATTTCAGTTCATGTTTGCACTCTCTTGGGATTAACATAACCTAATCTGGAGCTTACTTTTTACTAACATAATTATTCCTGCTAAGCTCAAAAGAGGAAAATTTCAGCTCTGATTAAAAGGTCGCATTCTTTCCATCTTTTCTTGAACAGATAGCAAGGGCCCGGTATGTGTCAGGGACTGGGGATGCTGGAATGAATGTTTCCAGCTCTGATGGAGATGTGAAGTACTATGCTTGTGACAGGAACTGAAGACAGACTAATAAACTGACATTGAGTGTGATTGGCAGTCTGCTGTGTGGACTTACAGTTAAGGTAGACTGCCTACCTCTGGAGAAATGGAGTCTTTTTTCAGGGAGGAAAAACACTTTGCAGGCAGGGCAAAGTGCATATGCGAAGGCAGTTTGGTGTGGCCTCCTCCACGTGCTCATCACCGTGGGCACAGCCTCCTGCAGAGGGGTCCCTTCTGCCACCTCCCACGGCCTTTGGGGGAGGGAAAGCTCTCGGCCTTAAAGACTGCTCCCTCTTTCACTGCTTGGTGCACGGTGTGCTCTGTACGTGGGACAGGTGGTGGATGGCTGAACGGGTCACATTTTACTGCGGAACTGTGTCTGTGGTGTTATCGCGCTGACCTGCACTGTCTCCTAACACGGGCTTTTTGGCTTAACTCTCATCTTTTTTCAGTTCAACTCTTAACGGTTCAATATTTTCCTCCGAACCTTCCCTGATTTTCCCCAGTTTGGGTTAAGTGGCCTGCTTTGCTGTGGCCCTGTGACCCTTCTCTGTTTCTGTATCTTAGTGGTTTGGCTCCATGCCTATAACCCTCTTCAGGTTGTAGGTTCTCTCAGGGATAAAGAATCTGTCTTGCTCATGTGTGTAACTGTTGTCTGGCGAAGTGCTCAACCCTGTAAGTGTTTACTAATTATATACCCCCCAGAAGAGCAGGTGCAGAGGTGCACTTCTTTTTATATTCGTCTCTATCTCTTACCTGGACAAGAGCAGGCATCCCACAAATCTTTCTTTTCCAGTTTGGCCCCTGAAACTCATTCTCCATGAGGCAACTAGAGCCATTTTTAAAAGATAAATTGGATCTTTTGTTTACAGTTGCTCCCTGGCTTTGTGGTCCCAAGTACAAAATACAAACAGCTTAGCGTGGATGTACTGTCAGCTCCTGGATACTCTCAGTAGAGCATAGTATGGATTTCCTCATCTCTGGTCTGAGCCACTCTTTCATTCTTTCACCAAAATTTTCCATTTCCTGGTTAGCTCTCTTTGTTGCATATTCTTCACTTTTATATGTTATTTTTGTAATTTTCTTTTACCTGTACTCCCCTTTGGAATATAGATTTCAAGGATCAACTCCTGGCCCTGCAATTAACATCATGCTAGTTTCATAACACATAAGTAAATATTGATGGCTAAGAGAAGCCACATGTTACCTCATCTGCTCACTTTACTGCTTACTAAATCTGTTACGGATGATTATTTTATGTCAAGAAAGGCTAAGGATTTTGAGACAAAAGGTTTATAGTAGAGGACAGAAAAGTTAACAATATTTGCCCAACCATAGCAATAAATACAGAAATTCTTCAAAAGTTCATGGACTCCAAGGTCGGTAGGATGATTCTGTTGACTAACCCTCTACCTATAAGTGTATCCCATGTGCTAAACTTCCCATCCAGCTCCCAGCTGATGGGGCCATATTTTGCTGCCTTTGCAGGCCAAAACCTTCAGATGCTTCACCTACATGAGACCTGGAGGAGGCTTCAGGCCCCTGTACCTTCTTATTGGTACAGCTCTCGCCATTGCAGCTGTTTGAGGAGGGAATCAGTGGACGGATCTTCCTCTCCATCTTTCCTCCTCTGTATACTGACTTTCCAATAAAAAGTTAATGGAATGCACATGAAAAAATTATGCATAGATTTCAAAAAAATGTTTGAATATTTGTCTGTTGGAAAGAGCAAGAAAGGTGGAGGGAGATTTCCCATCCAGTTGTTCACCCCACAAGGACTACAGTGGCCAGGCTAAGCCAGAAGCAAGGAACTCCATCCAGGTCTCTCGTATTTGGGCCTTCTTCCAGTGCCATTCAAGGTACCAAGATTGGAAGTGGAGCAGCAAGGGCTTGAACTGACACTCCAATATGGGGTGTCAGTATTGCAAGTAACTTAACCCACTGTGCTACAGTGTTAGCTTCGAATTTCAAAACATTTTTGCACCAAGGTAAGTTCACACTAACCTGCATATCTGAATGAGATCCATTTTAGAGCACTGAGAAGAATAAGACATCAGTTTGGAAAGAGCCATTCTGAGAACATGAATTCTGTTAACTTAGAAGCAAGAATAAACCTCAGAGTTATGATGGAGCTTAAGTGGACATGCAGTGAAATTACTGATACTTTGAGAAAAGTTTACCTTGCAAGTGCTGGGATACCATATGGGCACTAATTCATATTGCAGCTGCTCCACTTCTCATCCAGCTCCCTGCTTTGGCCTGGGATAGCAATGGACAGTGGCACAAAGTCTTGGGACCATGCACCCATGTGCAAGAGCCACAAGAAGTGCCTCGCTTCAGATCAGCTCCGCTCTGGCCATTGCAGCTACTTGGGGAGCGAACCAGTGGATGGATGATCTTGCCCTCTCTTTCTCTGTAATTGACTTTCCAATAAAAATTAATCTTAAAAACATTTACAGGGATAATGCTCCCTAAAAAGGGCACCTTTGTAAGATGATGGGCAGTCATCAGTGGTCCAGCAAGTTTTTAAAATACACCTATTTTTCATCAAAGTTAAGGGTTGCATTGATAAGAATTCCCGGGACCTGCAGCTTTTCAGGGATGAGCAAAATGGTGTCGTTGCTTACAAAAAATATCTTAACTGTTGAACTTGAGTTGAGAAGGGTTAGCATTTAAATAATATTTCCAATCCTGTTTTTTTTTATTAACTTCTTAAAGTCTACTTACAAAATTTGAAAATTTTTCAAAAAGAAAAAGGGTGGTTGGATGTGATTAATATTTAACACCATACATTATCACAGAACCATTGTTCTATGTAGTCTTTCCTAAAAGTTATAGACCACGATAAATCAAAGAAAGTTGGTATTTTTACAAGGTTGATGATGGAGGTCAGTACCAGACAAATCATTTAGTAGTTTTGTTTATAAGTCTCACTAGGTGATAATGTTCTTGCTGTTGTGGTTACATTTTTGTTTCTTAAATTTCATTTTCCATTCTTGGTAACATTCACTGAAAATGGAAAAAGTAATTTAATTTCCCAAATTATGGAGTATATTAGGGGGATGCCATGTTCACATTGGTATTTACAGGTCTTATATAAGGTGTTATGCATTTATTGTTTCTGTAAGGTGAGTAATACTGTCCCCATTTTACATGTGAAAAACACCTTAGGTTCAGCAAGGTTAAATAATTTACCATGGTCGATTCAAGTGTTAAGAAGCAGAGCTAGAGATGCGTTTATGTGAGCACAGGGTGAGTGCCAGGATCCGCTGGAGAATTGCAGTTAGAAATCCTGGTAGGCTTCTGCCAGAGCCTCGTCGAGCTGCAAAATGAAAAGTGCACATGAGGACATTGGAGACCAACGTGAGCCCGAGCAGGAAGCAGGCGGACCACCGATCCTTCCTGAGTGCTAAAGACAGAACGGTCAGACTAGACCTTCTTAGGGAATTGAGAGCTCAGAGAGTGACTGGGGTTATACACTGGGTAAGGAAAGGAAGACTGGAAAATAAGAGAACTGACCACTTTACTATCCACTTCATCTTGCAGAAGAGAACAACAAAGTCGTTGAAGAATTAATAGAAGAAAACAATGACATGAAGAATAAGCTGCAAGAAATGCAAGCACTGTGTAAAGCACCACCAAGGTAGACTTTTAACATTTTGAAGAGACCAATCATGATGTTTTTGAAACTATTTCTTTGGTTAAATAGCAAAAGGTATACAAAATCTCCCCAAATCCTGTCTCCAGCAGGTACTGTTAGCTTCATTTCACTGAACCTTCTTTCCCTACGCATGCCATGTGCCTACTGTATTTGAAATTAGGATTATTGTAAAAGATTTTGTAATCTTTTATTAATCTGATATTAAACATTTTCCCATATTAAGTCTATGCTTTTTGATACCTACTTTTTCATCACATGGACTTATTACTGTTAACCATCTATACTCTTAAAGTTGTGTCCATTTCCGGCCCACTATCCCCCTTCCCTATTTAAAATACTTGTAGTAAGCATCTTTGTAAATGATTGTTAACTCATCTTTGTTTCTCTTGAACATATGGATGCACATTTAAAAAAACAAAAAACAAGGTCTTACAGAGTCTTCTTTTGCCATCTTTGGTTCGTTTGTAGGTCTTTGTCAGAAGGGGCTGTTGAAAATCCTTGCCCGCCGTGCAATGTTGAAGCGTTGGAAGAACTCCGTGGACAGTACATAAGAGCTGTAAAAAAAATCAAGCGTAAGTTCTTGAGATTCTCATGATTTTAACATTGGCTTGGGTCTTTTTGAATGAAGACTTGTAGTTTGAAAAATTCTGGAAAAATACTATCATTGATAAACTGCCTTTCATCTTAAACCAGTAATACATTATGCAGTAATGAATCATTTAGTCCAAATTACAATATATTTTGGAAGTGACATGAGTGTATGAAAGTAGAATTAAGTTTTTTGAAGCTTAAAAGCATTCGAGGAACACAGAACTGGCACCTGCTTGTTCACTCCCAAATGCCTTCAGTCTCAAAGCCAAGGCCCACATCAGTGTGAGTCCCGGAGTGAGCCTTGACAGGAAGGTGGAGTTGGGGGTGGAGCTGAGCCTCGACCCCAGGCCCTCTCATATGTGCTGTGGGCATCCACTCACCAGATGTCTGCCCCCAGAGTTTTAAATTATTGATTAACCCATTTTGTTTTTATAAACTAATCTCTCAACTTTCAGTGAGGGAAAATGTCACATGAGTTTAAGTTGCTTATTTCCTACAGGTAAACTTTTTTTTTTTTTTTTTTTAAAGATTTATTTTTATTATTTTTTATTGGAAAGGCGGATATACAGAGAGGAGAGACAGAGAGGAAGATCTTCCATCCGATGATTCACTCCCCAAGTGAGCCGCAACGGGCCGATACTATGCCGATCCGAAGCCAGGAGCCTCTTCCGGGTCTCCCACGCGGGTGCAGGTTCCCAAAGCTTTGGGCCGTCCTCAACTGCTTTCCCAGGCCACAGGCAGGGAGCTGGAAGGGAAGCGGGGCTGCCAGGATTAGAACCGGCGCCCATATGGGATCCCGGGCGTGCAAGGCGAGGACTTAACCACTTGCGCCACCGCGCCGGGCCCTACAGGTAAACTTTTAAGGAAGATAGAAACTACCCTGGTAGGCAGTTGCTCTGTGACTGTTATTCCTTAGCACTGGATGCTAAGTCAGTCCTTGTCAATAGCAGGTGGTGCCAGCAAGCCCCAAGAGCCTGCCCTGATACTTTCCCAGTGTGTGGCACTTGGTTTTTCATAAAAGGGATGTGTCCCACTAAACAATAACCACCTCTCAAGAATAATGAACCATGTTAAATGTATAACACCCCTCAAAACAAAAATATACAATAACTAGTACTTGAATAGGAAGAAGTATGTTTTTACTTTCTAAAAATGTTCATTTTTATTAACAAGCAGGAAAGATCTCCAGTACCTAAAATAGTTAGTAGAGTATCTATCACATAGACGTTCTGAAACACTCAGCACCAATGAAAGAATTTTGCTTCTTAGTTTTTGCTGTTACTAAGAAAAGATTGTTACTACAAACAAGGCAGCTTTTTCTTAATGCTTGTGGTCTTTAAGCATTTTGTTCATCCTACTACGCGGCACGTCGGGGGTAAGTGCTCTGTTTTAGAGACATTTGGTCTCAGACCAAGTGGTTTTAGAATGACTCCCTTTTTGCCATTTTAAATGATGAAAGTTTCCCAGTTAGTGTTTTTGCGTGAAGCGCATAGTTTTTAGATGCTTTATGATACCAAGAGGGAAACTCCCATATGAATGGGTTGTGTAATACAACAGGGTAATGAAACTCTGCGTAGGATGCAGTTCTAGATTTTTGGTAAAGCAAGGCGAGCCCTAATTAGCAGTTACGGGTCCAAGCCATGCTAAGGTAAAGACAAAAGAACCTGAAAGCTGAGAATTTACACAAATGTGAATTTCAGAAGGTCTCTTCAACTCTCCCTTACAGTAGCGTTTCGCGCTGTGTCCCAGGGTTTGTGATGCTCTATTTGGTTAGGGACACAGTAAGCACTGCCAAGGATTAAATAAGGAATAGAATATGTATTACAGCACAAGGGAAGAATATAAGTCTGCAGCTTATCTTGCCTCCTTCCCCTCTTTTTCTGTAATTTCTTCTCAACTAAATGTAGTGGACAATGGAAATATACATTTCTGTGCCTCATGTTGAGGGTACTTTCTTACTAAGTGTTTTAGAATATATGAGTGTTTCCGTTGGGGGATTATATCATGTTTCCTTGACATATGTAGCTATATCGTCCTTGCAGACTTTTAAATTGCTTCTGAGTCTGTCGGGATGATGATCTGGAGAGTGTAATGTTTACACTAGACCTCCAGTCACTCCCTCTTGCAGAGCATCGGTCTGAGGGCGGTCCAGGCTGTTTCTGAATCCGTGCTAATGAATCTGCATCCTGTGGGTATGTCCCTCGCTGCAGGTGACATGCTTCGTTACATTCAGGAGAGCAAGGAAAGAGCTGCGGAAATGGTCAAAGCAGAGGTGTTGCGAGAACGCCAAGACACTGCCCGCACGATGCGCAAGTATTATTTGACTTGCCTCCAACAGATTTTGCAGGATAATGGAGAAGAAAGGTAGGTTCATTCTAAACAGGGTCCCAAGACAGCATGTTGTCATTTTCTAAACATTTTCCCTGACCCCAATATTAACTGTTTTCTATCTGATCAGCCACTGGGGGGGGGGGGGGCGGTTAAGAGAAACTTAACAGCTTTGCCTACCCTAAGTGTTGGCAGAGCTAATAGGAAAACAGAAATCCTGGGACTAAGGAAACCCATTTTTTTTCATCTAGACTGTTTTAATTCAGTATTCTGGAATTCCCCCACAGGGCTGAAAAAAGGATTATGAATGCTGCTAGCAAGCTCGCTACAATGGCAAAATTGCTTGAAACGCCTATTTCTAATAGATCCCAGAGCAAATGTGCACAGTCAGGTAGGTCAGAATGAGTCATTTGAGTGGTTTTTCTCTTAGTTTGTTTTGCATACTGAAAATATTTAATACACAAAAGAGTGAGAGCTAAGTTGTGAAGTTATATGAGCATGTGTTTTACTTGAACAATTCTACACTCATTTCTGGAAGCTTCCCATTGTCGCTTCTACTGCTAAAAATGATAGAAAATTATTTTATAAAACTAAGATGAAAGCGTATCTGGGCTTATAGTATAGCAGTTTCCATGAATAGATCAAGTACTATAAAAAAGGCAGCATGGGATTCGAAATTGACACTTCAAAATTTCCAGAAGGTGAGAGCCAGGGTTAGGAATGTAATCAAGGCTGTTCCCCATACTGAGGTTGGGTGTCCCAGGAGAAGTAGTGGGTCTTGGGGACACCAGTGGGGGTAAATTAGTAGGTATTTTGAGCAATACAATTGGTGGGATCACCTTTTCTGTTCTTCCCATTTCCCTTCCCCACCGACCCCAGCAGCATTAAGCATCCGAGAGAAGGGCACAACCCAAGGTGGCTGACCGCACCACAGAATACCTGGGAATCTGCATACCTTGTAACTGGCACTTTAGGTGTGTAGTTCCCAGGTGCTCTGTGGCACGAGTGCCAGCAGATATATCTGTGCTGCACGGCTGATGAGGTAGAGATCTGAGCACATTTAAACAGCAAGTATTTAATCAAACCCCATCACCATGATGAAAGATAAAATGAAAAGGCATAGTTTGCTTAGAGAAATTAGGAAGATATATACAAGAGGAAGTGAAAATTATGCTCAGACTTTTGCGATTAGAATCTACCTTCTCCATGAAAATAACTATAGCTCGTGCTTGAACAATACAGACTGATTCGAGGAAGACTTGGAAAACATTTTAACCTATCAAAATTAGTAAATCAGTAGGCTGAAACATTAACAATCATAGTAAATGTGAGTAGGTTAAATCCACTTATTAAAAGACCACAATTTTCAAACATTAGTGCTGACTAATTCACCTAATAAAGAGTGTTACCACTACAAGGGACAAAGATAATTTGTAATAGGAAACTTCTGTGTATAAGGAGCTTTAGATTCATAGTAGATGAAGAAATATGAAAAAAGTGGTGAATTCCCAAGCACCCTGGGAGATGTTTTTGCAGAAACATGGGGTTTTTGAGCTTTTGGAAAAATTGAAGCACAGATTACTCAGGAATTCGCCATAGTGTTTGTTCTTCCCGGGGAGGAACAAAGACCGTAAGAATGTGACAATATGAACCTTGGAGAGTGAAATCGAGCAAAAGTCATTCCAGACTAGGGACAACATGGAAAAAACTCTTAATGGACTCAAGGGCCGGGACAAGCTGCTCTGAAATGCGATGCTTCCAGTTCTGTGCCGTGTGGCTGCTATGCCTCTGTCGGATTTCGTGTTCTATCCAGTTAAGTCGGAAACCCCAGTATTGATACAGGATGTGTGTATGTGCACAAGGACAGGTATCACACAAACTTCCTTCATCAGAACAGGTTCAAAGACACTGCCGACGGCTCTTGAAATGCATCATTGCAGAAACATGATCTAATAACGAGCGATAGTACTACATTGGATTGCAGTGACAAAATTTACGTACCAAGTTTATTTTGCAGGAATATATGTAAAAAAAATTTAGATATCTATATTTAAAATCTTTTAAATTCTCTTCGTTTTCTCAATTTTTTGTTCCCTCCCTTTCAGCAGCACTACCCCCTGCTTCAGAGATGCTGACTGGTGATGAAAAATCAAAAAGAAATGAAGTGCATCAGAATGCAGCAGATTGCATTGAAAGCAGATCAAATAGCGTCCACACCATCCCCAGGAGTGTGTGTGAGCAGGCTGCTAGGAGGAGGGCTGCTTGTGACTTACGAAGGCGATTAGAGGCCTCAGAGCACCGGGACATACAAAATGCGGGTCCCAAAGGCTCCCACTCGGACTTCCAGTTTGGGGACAGCAGCGGCAAGCACCTACATGTTTTGCCCAAGAACATTCCTCCAGAGCTTGTTCCCCGTGGAGGAGAAGGTTTTGCTTTGCACCAGAAGGCAGACCCCCTCCGTGATGGCCCTGGTTCTGACTCACCTCCGCCAGCAGCCACATACTCCTTTCCTGGAAACTTTGGAAAGAAACCCTCACCTAGATGTACCCCTGGTCTTCCTGAGTCAGGATCCACACATACCACCAGCTCTCAGAGTCCGAAGGAAAGGCCTGGCTGCAAAGTGCAAACACGGAATTCACTCGCAGAGAGTGAAAAGACCGTGTCAGAGCCAAGTCACAGTGCGGGTATTCGGGAACGCCCAGTCAAAGATGGCGGGGACCTCCAGGACTCCTTGGGCTGGCGTTCCAACAGTGCAGCTTTACCCTGTGCTGCTCCTGAAACGTCCTTCTCAAATGGGAGGTCGCAAGACACCCTGGATGTGCCAGGCGAATCTGTTCATTCCAACCAGTTTTCAGCAACCAGTTGTCTTTCAGATACAGAGAAACATAACATGGTTTGTCAACGAATGAAATGTCAGAGCGATCGTGCTCCAAGCCTGTCAGAAGAAACCAAGTATTCCTTGCTAGGGAAGATCAGTGAGACTCTGGGACACCCATCTCATCCTAAGGTTGATACATTGAGGGCAGATTTCCAGAAACTGAGCAGTACAGCACCATCTCCGGTGCGTCGGCAGCCTTCAAGAAAGCTGATTCTTCCCCTGGCTAAACAACAAGATAGTGGCTTTGACAGCCCATTTGTCAATCTAGATTAATCATTGTACAGTATTTAAGAATCAGTAACAGTGACAAAACTGGAAGGACAGACTATACAGAAAAACTCTGGATTTCTGCCTATTGTGATGTGTTGAGTAAAGCATTTTCATAAAATTATTTGGGATATTTATGTTGCCTTCAAAGGCCCGGTGGTATTTGTATAATGTGCTTCTGTGTGGTGCTTAGGGTTGCTAAACCATATATTTTTATACTTCTAAATTGACTCACTCTATAGTGTTAAATTATTTAAATAAACTTGCCTATGGTCTGTAGCATTTTGCTCTTGAGTCATTTTGTAGTTCATAATGCAGAAGTGTTATGCTGACATGCTTGACACTCGGGTCAGTAAAAATTTTCAAATTAGCCATGTTTTCTGAGGCTATGGAAGATCCAGTTAATGCTTTTTCTGGAAATGGGTACTTCACAATATCGATCCTTGCCTTTAATTAGAAAAAAAGGTTAGCAAAGTTTACTGCCAAAGACAAGTGTTTGTGTTACAGTTTCATTACTCTAATTAATTAGCCTGAACTTCAGTAGATTTAGTTGTGTTATTTCAGGGCATTGGTGACGCCAGCCAGAGACTTCAGTTTCTGTCAGAAACAATACTCTGAAAATTTAAATGACCTTTCTCATGCAGCACTCCTACTCATTTTACATTTGCCCACAGTGCAGTTTTGACATATTGATGCTGTGGGTTGAAAAGTTGTACTTCTGCACTGAAGAACAGAGGCAGAAATGATGAATTCCCTAAACTCTCTTGTTTCTAGATTGATTTTTTTAGATTGCTGCCGATGGCTTTGAACATTCAGATATGTACAACAAAGCATCCTGAAAACAGTTACTCCAGCTCTCTCTCGCTCCATCCACATGACCTGTACTTGCGGTTTCTTCTGCCTATTTTCCCATCCAGAACCAGGCTAACTTAGATGGCGGTTCAGTGGAAGCACTGTCTTCATGCCTGATACCTCCCTCTAAAAACAACCTCAACGTGAAATGTTCTGGAGCTTGGAAAACTGTCACATGAACTAGTAGCAGATACAAGCAAACCTAGAAATTAGCACTGGATTTTAGGGATTGCACTGGCAAGTAGCGGGAGTAAGGAACACACCAACTCTTTAGTAGCAAGGCTGTGATTTCTCTGTGAAAACCTCTAAACCAGCTGGACTTTATGCTCCCTGGATTGGTGTTTTGTTATAGTGAAGTACCTAAAGGAAAATAGTTATGAAAAAAGGAAGTGTATTTCAGCTCATGGTTTTGGAGAGCCACATCTTGGGTGACGGAGCACGTGTCTGTGTGTCTCCTTGTAAAGCCACCATGAATGGATCATGTGAGCACCACACTAACCACCTAATCATTTTCCAAGGCTCTGCCTCCCTCACCACCATAATAACTTCTAATTTCTACTCTCCTGGTATACCACTCACATACGATTTGGGGGCAGGAGGGGGTGGGAGAACATGAGAGCACTGTGCAGCAGTTAACACTTGAGACACCCAGACCCAATATTGAAGTGCTGGGGAACCATGCAAGTTCCTCTGCTTCTCATCCAGCTTCCTGCTAATGCACTCACCCTTTGAAGTAGCAGGTGAGAATTTAATGAGCCCTATCGCCCATATGGGTCACCTCAATGACGCTTGTTTTCTGACTTTGGCTTGGCCCAGCTTAGGTTGCTATGGGAATCGGGGGAGGGGGGGTGGTATGAACCAGTAGGTGCAAGATCTCCATCTGTCACTCTTATCAGACGAATGGTAAAATTTAACCAAGAGTTTGGGGATTAAACCTGAGAATCCTGAGCTCATTGCTTAGCTACTTACAAAGAGGAACTTCAAGTCCTCACACTTGCTCCTCCTGGTAAGATGTCTTTTTTGGTATTTCATAATCTCAGTAGAATTAAGTTCACTTTATTTCATATACATTACCACTTTGCTTCATATTCCCAACTACCCAAGAGGGTATGAATTTATCAGTGTGAAACTGAAGAGATAGAGCCAAGTGATGACGGGATGCCCACTGCACTGAAAGGTAAAGGCAGAACAGAAAAGAACCCTGTAGATACCGTGGTGACATATGTCAACCCTTGGCCATAGGTTTAATCCTTTATCTCTGGGTTTCATTTGCTAATGTATTTTCATGCATATGTTCATATTGGTCATTTGTTTTCTTGTGATATTTTGAACCTAGACTCTTTGCTGTAGGATGCGGACATTTCAGCCAGCATCCTACTAGGACAAACACCTGCCCTGCCCATACTTTTGAGCACCTACCAGGTATCAGTTGGCCTGTCATACTCTCTAAATATATTTTTATTCCTATTTCAACAGCCTTTCATGTTAGGACTTCACCTTATGTTACAAATGAGAAAAGGAGGTTCAAAGAGTTGAGAGGGTTTATACATGGAGTGTCATCATGTGGCTGAGCAGTTATCCCGATACCACTGAGTTACTGCAAAGTGTGGGCCAACCGAGCAGGTGTACAAACTGAAACAGCTTCTCTCCAACATCAATATCACACATGCCCCAAACATGTAACTGCTATTGTATTGTTAATAAGAGTCCTTTACACTAAATTTAGGAATTGCCACACTGTTCTGAAAAAAAAAAAAAAAAAGCCCTCTTAGATTGGATTTGTGCTAAATGGTTCAAATAGTTAGTACAAATCCATTTTTTTTCAGATTAATATCTGACAATTTTTTAAATCAAGTATGTTTCCAGTCTTTATGTCCTCACTTTACCAGCGAGTCTACATTCTACATCTAAAACATTGGATTTGGCTAGCCAACACTGTTGTACCCATGCTATGACCATTTCTACCTTGTTGGCAGAGGAAGGAGAGTCTGACATTTGTCTCATGATTTATCCCAACTTGTTGAGTTCTCTTTGACCTGAGCTAATCATATAGCTCTAATTCCTATTGCTGGCTATTGATGTAGGGTATGGGCAAATGACTAGGTACTGGACAACATGAGAGAAGGGAAGGGAAAAATGTTCCTTTCTAAAATGCCATTCCTTCCACGCTCAAAAGGGAGATGAACCTACAGTGACAAATGTGCACTTTGTTTTAGATCAGTGGGGACAGGCACTTTAGATGTTACTCCATCTGATTGTAACACAAGGTAAAGCCAGCCCACCAAGGAACAGAACTGGCGCCCCAACCACCTGCCCTAGAGCTAACCAACTCCTGATTCTTTATTTCATGTGGGAACATATACTCTAGTTTGGGAAATACATGCTTGGAGCTACAAACACTTTAATTAACCGTATCTGCTTTGTGAAGTAGTTGCAAAGTTCCAATAAGATGTTTTGAAGGACCCAGTAGCACCTAGCTGATAGCTGAGAATCCATAGATGTCAGCCCTGAGGGAGTTTCTTTCAACACCAAGTCTTGTGTAAAATTCTCTCAGTAAACACTCATGTCTTCTGTGATTTTTAGTATTTAATAAAAGTTACACAGGAGCATGCCAATTCTAGCTTAGCTTAAAATGATGTAAATCTGTGATCCCAGAATGTTGTGAGTTTCAGAAATACCTTCACCAAATTTCAAGAAAGGATCATCTTCTGCCTCAGATGATAATGTATTTGGCCCATTCCCAAGAAAAGTGAGGAACACTCCTGTTTGCCGACAAAGAATAAAGCTCACCCGATAAACACTGCAGCAAGTTTACTTTCTTACGGATTTTAAAATTTTTATTGGAAAGTCAGATTTACAGAGAGAAAGAGAGGGAGAGGAAGATCTTCCATCCATTGATTCACTCCCCTAGTAGCTGCAATAGCCAGAGCTGAGCCAATCTGAAGCCAGGAGCCAGGAGCTTCTTCCATGTCTCCCACACGGGTGCAGGGTCCCAAAGCTTTGGGCCATCCTCAACTGCTTTCCCAAACCTCACACAGGGAGTTGGAAGTGAAGTGGAGCAGCTGGGATACAACTCTATAGCCATGGGATCCTGGGCATGCAAGGGGAAGACTTTAACCACTAGGTTATGGCACTGGACCTGGAAGTTTACCTTCAAAAGTTTTTTTCTCTAGATCTGAGCAGGTTGTTTACAGATATTTCGCCTGTTCTGAAGTTGAATAGCAGAAGAAAGAACTTGTTCAAAATAAAAAGGAAAAATTAAGATCAGGAAAAATAAAGTTTTGTTTTTTGGGGGAACAGTCTTCAAGCTCTTAAAGCAAAACATGACTATGGACATGAATATCAGAGATTTAAAAAAAAAAAAAAACACCTCCAGGAGGAGGTTTCATCTCCAACCCCTCAGGGGAAGCAATATGTTGCTGGAATTTACAAATTTACAAAAATATGTAGCCAAATAGATAAGGACCTGTAAGTTGAAAATTTTGGTATTGTCCAGCCTCCCACTTGTACCTAAGAGCTGGATCAGGGCCCAGCATTGTAGTCTATTGGCCAAAATCCTCACTTGCATGCACCAGGACTCCATATGGGGGCTGGTTTTAATCTCAGCTGCTCCACTTCCCATCCAGCTCCTTGCTTGCGGCCTGAGAAAGCAGTTAGGACAGCCCAAAACCTTAGGACCCTGCACCCATGTGGGAGACCCGGAGGAAGCTTCCAGCTCAGCTCAGCTCAGCTCAGCTCTCACTGTTGCAGCTACTTCCGTTTCTCCTCCTTTCTGTAAATCTGACTTTCCAATAAAAATAAATCTTTAAAAAGAAAAAAGAGCAGGATCACACAGCTAGTCACCCCCTTCCCAGAGCTATAACCCTGCTTAGGAGGTTTTATGGGATTAGGTTTCTTGTAGAGACGCTGTCAAAGTAAGTGGTCCAGGGTTCAAAGTCCAATGCCAGGCATTGCTAGGTCAATGGAGCAAAAGACCAAACACACCCACACATCTGCAGCCAACTAATATTTGGCAAGTGAACTTAAGTCAATCCAGAGAGAAAGGACAGTTTGTTCAAGAAATGGTGCTGGGAAAATTGGGTCTCCATGTGTGGAAGAAGAACCTGCCTTACCAAGGTCTACATCCCAACTGCCAAGGAGATCACAGGGAACTGGAGTGCCCTCATAGGCCGAGAACTCTGAGGTCGACCACTCCCTATCGGCCCTCCCACTCAGGATGGAAAAAGCCCAGAACCCTCCTCACAGAGTCTAATGACATCAGAACAACAGCCAGGAGCCCTGAGTGGTCCTCAGAAACAGAAGAACAGTTAATTTCCTTCAGGACTCAGGAGAGGAGTTTTCTCTGGTCCTTACTTAGTTCCAACTTTAGCTCCCCATCCTCTCTTGCAATAACCATCAGGGTCACTCCGAAGGGCTGCAAATTAGAT